CTTTCCCTTCATAAACCCAGAACGTGTGCTCTAAAGGCCTGGTATTGCTGTGCCATCCTTCTGATCCGGGAAGACGAGAGGGATGGCAATTTTGGGAGCCCTTAAGAACTGGAGCCGCAGCTCGAGCCCCCCAGGAATTTCTGATCTATCTGTGCAGCCTGTTCACAGGCCCGTTGTGAGGAAGGCAGCACAGATGTTGCTTCTGCCCTTCAGTAAAAGACTTAGCAGACTGCAGCAAGGTCCCCTTGTAATCCAAAGTTCATTCGATGCCCAGTAGATTTAGCTGCAGGAAGAAGAGGATGACGGCATTTCACTGTGACATCCAACGTTTTTCTTTGCTATGGGTTTAAATTCCCCTATTCCCCCTGCTCGGGCCTGGAGAAGAAAACTTTGTCTGTGCTGCAGGGTATGTAGAGCGCACAGCAACCAAGCTTCATCTGCTGCCAGCCCTTTGTTTGTGAAATGTGCTCTGTTAATTAGCAGAGCTTATACTGTGGTTACGGCCCATAGGACTTGGAGGCAGTAATACTAGTTATTAATAAAATGCTCTGGGGCACTTATTCCCTGTTTTTTCACCTGCTGCTTCTTATCTGCGTGTATTTTTCTTTAACTGTTGTCTTTGCTGGGGCAGGTTAAGAAAACGATGGAAGCTACGCTCCAGACTATCCAGGATATAGTCACGATAGAGGACTTTGATGTCTCCGACTGTTTCCAGTACAGCAACTCCATGGAGTCTGTCAAATCCACCGTCTCTGAAACTTTCATGAGCAAGCCAAGCATTGCCAAGCGACGGGCTAATCAGCAGGAGACTGAGCAGTTCTACTTCACGGTAAGGGACCCGATTTGCAAGGTGTTTGCAATGGCTTGAAGCTCTGGGGAACCGCAGAGTTGCCTGTGCTGTATTGTCCCCATCATAAAGAGCCATGACTGTTCTTATCCTCCGAAGTGTTCCCGTTACTCTCCGAGGTCGAGGTCAACTTCTCTGTGGAGGTGTTTTCGATTCATCCTCCAAGTCAAATTGGAATATAGGCACAGGCAGCTCTGCCTGCCACCAGGTCTGCTGTTTTGCAGGGTTACACAGCAGTGAGGAAATGTCAAACAAAGCTGGCCCTTGGTTTAACTTGCAAGTCCTTGGTTTTAAATGGGTACTTCATAATTTCTTTTTAATTCGTGTATCTCGGGCTCATCTGGTTTCTCTGCACTCGTGCCTTTTCACAGTTGATCAGCACATCTGTATGGGTCCAGTAGGGCCAAATGCTTTTTATTACAGGATTGGTCCTTAAGTACGTAATAAGGAGCTTGCATTGTTCTAGCAAGATTACCTGCTTCAGAAAGGAGTACAAGAGCATGATACTTTCCTAGCGTAGGTTCCTAGAAAAGGCTTCCTTGTTCTTTTTGCGACTAGAGTTGTGCATATTACTATTCAAATAATATGGTAACGTGAAATGATTTTTATGGCAGTTTAAAAAAATATCGTTTCGATATTTTTTCCTATTGATTTTAATTGAGTGTGCGGTTTGTGAGATGATCTGTCTGGGTAAAATCTGGTCTCATCTGTCTGGGGCTGGGCAGGACAATTTAAAATTGTGGAAGGGGATTTGCTCAGCTGGACACACAGGTTTGGTCTGTGAGACTGGACTGCAGGTCACCCACAGGAAAATCCAAAGCATTTGTTAATTTATCCTCTACAACTGAAATGGCTTTAAAAAAAATCCATGTTCTATCAAGACCTAATGGTCTGTAACTTAAATTTTCAAAATCATACTTCTCATTGAAATATGTGTGCCGGGAGACTTCTCCGGTCATCCATGTCATTCTGTGGTGTCATTGTTTGCTCTCTTGTAATTTCAGGTTGAAAGCAATGTTTTTTAAACTATAGTTGACATGCTTTCTCTAAGGCATTGAGGGCTTTTTTTTCTTAATACTTTCTGTACATGTGGGTGTTGCCTGGCTTGTTTTATGTTGAACCATTGCATCATTTTGTGTTAACTTATTCTTCCCCAAAAAAGTGTGAAAACCAAATCCCTCCCATTCGTGACATTCAGGCCCGTTTTTGAGTGTCCGTTGCTGCATTTTAAAGCTTTTTCTATTCCTTTTACAAGGATGGCATTGCTTATTAAAATTGCTAAGTTCTGTACAAATTACATTGGCTGTCAGGACGGTTTATATCAGGGAGTTTATCATTCCTTTAGGCAAGCCCTGAAGATACTTAAAATAACACATGAAATTTAAGTCATTGTGGAAGGTGGAAGTGGCCAGAGACACTGATTCAATTAGGAAGCGAAGGACTGGCCTGCCCAGGATCACAGAACCAGAAAAATGTTTTTTAATTGAACTGTGAGCACTCTCTCAAAGGGAGCGTTGCATGTTCAGAGGCGCGCAAAAATAAAATCACGGGGGTAGTTCGCTATTCATAGTGCCTTTTTATTTCTCTTTTAATACCTGCTCCCACACAGCCAGACCAGCCGAGTCGCAGCAGGATTGTAGTGCTGTCTCCAAGAAACGGAGGTGCTATTTGTCATGTCACATGCTGCCCTGATAAAATAACTGGGAACTGCATGAGGCTGATGTATGAAGGGCCCCTTAACTAGTCAAATCAGATAGTTGACTGATCTCCTATAGGGGGAACTGAGAAATATCCTGGATAAGAATTTCAGATTTTGAATCATTTATTTGCATGTGTGCGTGTGGAATTGGGCAGATGAGCATTAATGAGAATGAGAACAAAGCATAGTGGGCGAGGCACGCGTAGAGAAGAAAGAAAACCAAAGCGTACAGAGCGAACACTGCAGGGTAGAGCCTGATCCCCTTGGATTTTATATCATTTATATTTCAGGTAAAACCTAACACACAGCGATCAGCGGAGGATAATAAGAAAGGGCTTCAGAAATGATCAGCATCACGCTGTACACAAGCAGGGTGTTGGCTTTTGATCTTTTCAGCTTCCGTATGTTGTGATCGTCGATACTAATGGCTTCGGGCACACCTGAGTTTTGCCAGCACATGGATATGGCTTAAGACAGCTGCACCCTAACTGACACAGCACTGCTGGCAAAACTCCAGAGGTGGATGCAATTATGCCGGCAGAGTGCGATAGCTTTTTCTGTTCCAGAAACCGGTTTAAGCTACGCAGGCAAAGCTGTTCTTCTGCAGGGACCAGCTAGGTCTTTGCTGCTGGCTTCTGTCAGATGAATTGTATTCGGAGCAGCAGGTTAGTCTTGTCTGGATGTGTGGGACAGGCAGCAAGGAGATAATTGCAGCAGAGACTGGGACAGGAGTTTTCCTTTCAGCATAGGTGGGCAGACATGTATTAGCTTTTAGTGTAGCTGTCCGGTCGCGAGCACTGCACCACAGGTTTAAGAGCGGGCTGGAGATGCAAGCCTGTGCTCAGAGAGCCCGCCAGCTTGGGCAGCATGTGCTGCCACTGGCACCCCTGGCTAAAGCTAGCAGGAGCGTGCCTGCCTGTGCTGCAGTCACACCTTCATTTGCAGTGTGTACCTATAAGTGAAGGGTAGGAAGGAAAATAAAGTGTGGGGAGAGGGTTTGATTCAGAGTTAATTATATTTTTTTCCATTGATATTAAGCCCCAGTGTAGTGCTGGCCCTTTTTTTTAAGTGCTTTCCAAAAATGAATTTGTAAATAAATCTTCACAAGGACCAGGGGACACAGGTGAGCATTATTTATAACCCCCCTAATAATCAATCTTGCAGCAGTGTCATGCGGCTTCTGTCAGTGCACCACTGTTTCCCCTTTTAATCACTCACAGTAGCTCAGCAGAGTGATGATCTGATTTTTTTTTTTCTGATTTTTTTTTCTCCCCATTGCATCCTGGGAACATGCCACCATGAGCTGAAAGCCTGCGTCAGCTTTGATGCTGCTTAAAAAAAAAATACTGCTGAGCTGCCCAGATTTAAGAGAGAGTTAAGGATATGGGACAAGTGACAGAAACTATTTCCATGCAGCCTGGGGAAGCAGAAATGTCTGCATTGCCAGCGAAGCAGGAAGGTCTGCTCAAGTTTACGCCTTGCTCTATTATATATCCCACGTGACAGCTGCTTCCTGCTGGAAAAATTTGAAACGGGGTCGGGCGCGTGGTGTCAGAGGTGTGTGGGTGCGAGCGGGCAGCCAGTACACGATGCCCGCCGCCACGGCTTAATAGCACGCCCTCGGATCCGAGGTTTCTGCATCGTGTCTTCAGTCCGCCTCGACCTTCTCGTGTCTGACTGTGTTGAGATTAAATCCAGGCCAGAAATGAAATCTCAGGCAGGGGGTGGGGAGAGAGTTCGCACATAATTTGATTTTTTTTTTTTTCTTTTTTTTTTTTTCTTTTTGGCCATTTATATGAAGTTTCAGATTGAGTGCTACTTTATAATTCAGCAAGGAGAGCCTGCAGCTTTGTTTTTAAATTGAAGTTTGCCCTCTTTATTTTTTTTAACGTGCTCTGGGGAAGCAGCAGGGGAGGGAATATTTGGCGTACTGAAGAGGATATGAAATACCTGGAGCAATACCCTGTAACAACAATGAGATGAACTCTGCACTGGGCTTGTGATGCTCCTAATGCGACTCCCTGGGACACCTCCCAGCCTGAAGAGTACCTGTAGGTACCGGAGGAAAATGCGGAAGAATCTGGTTTTCTTACCACGGAAGTGCAGCCACCTGCGGAGAGAAACAAGGCTGCTCAGAAACGGCACTGTGCACATTTAAGTCGGGAAGAGCGGGTAAGACAGGCAGGAAGGTATTTTCAGGTAGCATAATTGCTCAAATTCTGATGTGGCCACGATCCTGGAACTAAGCACTGGCACGTTTTTACTCCTGGATTAATTGAGTGACCATAAGCTGTCTAGGCTCTCAATCTCATTTCCTTCGGGAGATGGCATTTCTAATTTCACTTGTTAGCTTAGCTTTCACCTTAGCTTTCACAGGACTGTCCTTCCAAAGGCAGCAGTGCGACCTATACTTAGATTGCAAGAGGCTGAGAAGCTTGTGCCCTTGCTAGCAGGTCTGCCTGGAGAGCTTTTCTGCTAGATTAGGGCCTTTCACTCACAAATAGGTTTAGACAAGGGTTTTCGGAGCAAACTGAGGTGCTGTTTTAAAAATAACCTGGGCTACCTCTGTTTTCTCCCTTCTGTCACACCAAAGACAGCTGGTAGCATGCGAGGGCCCATGGCAGGTCGCTAATGAATATGACATCTTAATGTGCGCATACAGAAATGTGACTTTGAAGGGTCTGGTACATGATGGAGCACCACCAAGGGCAGGGAGAGTTCCCCCTCCCCATAATTCTCGCACTTAATAATTCAGCCGGTAATAGTCTTGTACTTGTGCCAGTCTGCCTTCCCTTTCGCGGGTCACGTTAACGGACAAGCGCCCATTACCGCCTCTCGGCAGTTGAGGGTTCAAGTCGTGCCTTCTGAGTTTAAGTGGGACCCAGGAGGGCTGTCTCCAACCTCATCATCAGACACTTACTTATTTTAACGGGGTCCTGGCTGACCCAAAGGGTAAGAGGCTGAACAGTGAACAGTCCTGCCGCCAGAAGGATCCCTGATCACCGTGCAGCCCAAATCTTGGGACACGGGCAGACCCTCAAAACAGACTGAATCTTCTCTTTCAGCTTGCATCCCGGTCTTTATTCTTAAAACCTGCTGCTGTCTCATGGGAAGCAATATTATTATTATTATTATTATTATTATTTTAAACCATTCCGTTTAGAAATGATTTTTTTTTATAGATTGCAAAATTTGCAGGGTTTGGTCTTTCTGCCTTTTTAACAAATAAATCGGAGACATGGGCGTGCACACATGGTCATGAACTTGTGCAGCCGATTTCAGGATGTTGGGAACCTTGTAATTAGTTGCGGTTGGGGGATGCTGATGCCCCCAATTAAAGGCCCTGACATATAAGCAGAAGGCTGGATAGAACTTAAGAGAAACGAAGCTGCTGTTTGCATGCACGAGTCCATCTCTCCACAACGGCATTTAATTTCCTTAGCAAAATAGTAAAGCTGGGTAAGGAATAAAGCAGAATTGTGTGCTTGAGTTTGCCGTGAGTCAGCGATTCTTTAGTGCTGCGGCGCCTCCCTCCAAATGGCATCCTTTTACATGCTGCATCAGTACGTTAACGGGCAGAGAGATGCAGCCGTGAAATACAATAATGCAATTCCACCAAGGTTGTTCGTGAACCAGGAGGCAGGAGCTCAAGTGCTTTGTCACCAGAACAAAGATCAAACTTCCTCGTGTAATGCGCCTTTGTTTTACACAATGGGAGGAAAATGTTGCCATTTTGATTTTTATTTGTTTGCCTGCTGTGTGCCAAGTAGATAGCACACATTTCTAAAGCTGCTGCTTTGCAAGGAAGAATAGAACTGCTAGTTCAGCTGGTGAGGACTGGATGGCTCCGTGGATCGGGAACGGGAACGAGCATATTGCAGCCGGTTCCCTGGTTCCCATCCACCCCAGACTGCAGCAGTCGAAATCGGTGGCTTTACGGGTGCTTTAATGGAACAACACTGGCAGCTGGAACAAAGTGTCCCTTGAAGTTAGCCCCTAGTTTCCTCTTCGCGGGGAATGTTAGTAGTCAAGGAGCGAAGGGGTGTGAGCAATGGGTTGGGGCATCTAGAAAAGAGAGCTTGAGCAAACTTTGCCTTGCAGTTGCCCTGTCTGCACGCGAGTCCCTGGGATGCATGAAAGGATTCAATCTTCTGGCCTGTCAATCCAGGGCCTCTCTGCAGGACCGAATGTGCAGATGTCCTGGGGGAAAGGGGAAGGGAAGCCAAGTGGTAACTGATCTTGATGGGGAAATGTATTGAATTCACATCTTTTTCCAGATGCGCAGTTTGGTTCTTTACTGCAAGCTGCAATGCAGTTAAACCCCTTACTTATCTTCCTTTTGCATCGTAAAAGCAGTAAAATGCACTTTACATAAGTTCCTGTATCTGCTTTCTGGCCAGAATAACATGTAAATCCAGCTTTTGTTGGGAGCTGGCTATAAGTGTTGGAAGAGGCCAGAACATAGTGAGACCGGAACCAGTTCAAGAAAGATGTAATCATACTTTTTGTCTCTGTTTTAAAGAAAGGCTCGCATTTTTAGGAAGGCAGGGATTTTTTTTGTAGATCCTCAATTTTTTTTGTGCATCCCATATGGACCACATCTAGCAACATGCTGAAACCCTTTAGCTCCTTTTGATTTTAGTAAACATAGAAGTACCTTAGTACCATTCAAGTCAGACATACGGTACTCCCACAGCCCAATCCAAGCTTTTTGGGGTATGAAATGCAGTGTCCTTTTGGCATTTTCCATGTGTTTTCTAAAAACCCAAGTGCTATATCGATTGCCGGTGTCAAAAATTGAACAAAATGCTCTAGGTTCAAAGAGTGAGTGGGACTTGTCTGTCAAAAATGCTAACATGCAGGAAGCAGCCTCTTTTGGAAAAGACACACCTGGGGTTTGGTGAGCAGGCTCCGAGGAAACCTCTGATCATTGCTAACGTTTTGCCCGAGATTCTTCCGAAAGTCCTGAAATGTTTCCTCAACTTTTATCTTTCCTTTTGTGCTGCTCACTTTTAATGCCGCTTGCCTGCCTTCAGGATCAAAAGCGTCGAGTGCCGGCCCGATAAGAAGCAGGAAATGTTGAAAATTGCCTGAGAGACTTTGTTCTTATGAAATTCCTGTTCCAGTTTTGCAGACTCAAGAGGCACAAAGCAGCATCTAGCTTTTTAACCGCTAATTAAAACCGAAGCCCTGACCTTTTTTTTTGTGTGTGACTGATTTGTCACCGCACGCTACCAGTCAAGGGACCAACAGTTCAATTCTTCCTGGCTCTTGAATCTTTATTCTGCAAAGTAGCTTAATAATGCACGTCTTTTACTTAATTCTTGCCACTCTTTACATATGTGCATAAGGTGCTTTTTATCGTTATCTGCACGGTACGAGCAGTGTGTGTAGCACTTTAGAATTACTTACCCCAAGGACTTTGCAGTCTAAATGTGACATCACAGTCGCCTGTAGTGTAGTGTGTTTATTGTACCATAATGGTCATCCCTGTAATAGGTGAGAAGAGGGACTATAGGAAATGCCAAATGTCTCTTGAGCCGTCCCTGCTGTAATCCCAACTGCCAACCCAATATACACCATTTTGTACATTTGAAGCACTATGAAAATGGGTACTATATTAACCTCTGGAATATGGGATGGAAGAGTCTTAAAAAGAGCATGTGAAGAGCTGGGAAAACCTGAAGTAGCAGCAAACGGCTTGTGGTATTGAGCAGAATAAAGCTGATCTCAAATGGCATCTCTCCTCCATCCCCCCCATCCCTGTTTCCTTATTGTGTATCATCCAGAACAGAGGCAGCTGCAGTATCTGATGGGTAAAGTGGGGTGAAAGAGGTTAAGTGAGAAAATAAGCACAGTAGCAGCCTTTTAGTTTGGTAAAACAGATTGTGCATTCAGTTGTCGCCGGCACGTGATAGAAGTGCGTTCCCATTTCTCTTTGTCATGTCTGGAGAGCATGGCGTAAGACAGCAGTTCCCGTGTCTTGGAAGTGCCAAAAACACAGCTGCAAATCCCAATTCAGACTGTGGCATGAGAAACTGGTTTGCAGATATCTGCAGCTCAACCCACGTTCCAGATATACGCAGCACCCTGGTAGAGTTCGTACTGAATATATGCAGGCTAAAAGGTATCGCCTGAGAAATAAACTGTCCACTGATGATCATCTTCTCTCCTTTCTTTCCATCTCAACAGAAAATGAAAGAGTATCTGGAAGGCAGGAACCTGATAACTAAGCTTCAGGCCAAACACGACCTCCTTCAGAAGACCCTGGGAGAAAGTAAGTCTGGGACCCACTTGTCACTCGATTAGCCTGTAGTTATTGAATTAGGCAGCTGACTGAGCATAACCGTCCCGGATTACTGATGTTAAGTGGACATATTCATGTTTTATGAATTTATTTTCCCAGCCTGCTTGGTACAGAAGCCAAGTGTCCTACATGGCTGCTTGAGTAATGGTGAAAGGCAAATGCTTAATGAGGCACTAATGTGCATTGTCTATTTGTTTAAATGAAGCGTATGCCCACTCAGGACCCCCCTCCCTCCATCTACCCACCACTTAATAATCATAATTGGGGTAAACCTTGTGATTTACTGTTTACTGCCGATCTGAGGAGCGCTGCCTCATTAGCTGGGTTGAGAGGCGTAGTTGCATGGTAGATTAGCTGCTTCTCACCTCTGTGTTTTCAGTCCAAACTTGCAGGCTCAGGCAAGAGAACACGATTTGTAATTCTGCTCACAAAAACCTTGAAGCACAGAAAACACACTGCCTGTTAGCAGGACCGTGGGTCGAGGGCTGCGGCAAGGTTGAACTAGACCCATCGCTTCCGGGGTCAGAGCTAGGACTTTCTCCCCATGACAGGGACAGATCCTGTTGGCTGAATACGCTTTACGAGCTATGCATCCAAGTCTCCGTGTCTGGCTAGCCTGTGTGCAGGGGATTGGGAGTCTCAGTAAAAGTCTTCCTTTACCAGAATTTAAGACTCGGCTCCTCTATGCTAGAGCGAATTCCACACTGTTAATGATATCTGGGTCTTTCCGAGTTGGAATTTAAACCATGTGTGGTCCTCAAAGTGCTTTGCTTTTTGGCATCAGAGATGTCCTAGAGAAAAAACAAATGTTGTAACTGAGGCTTCATGGTTCTTAGCACCTGAGCCTATAGAAAGTGAGGCGAGATGTGCTTTTTGCATTGTCTCACTTAGAAATTCCTATCTTTGCAGCAGTCCTTTCAATGGAAAGGGGGGAGTGGGGGACTCAGAAAAGCTGTCTGCTTCAGGCATTTTTCCTCTGCCTCTAAAATGCTGCCAAATGACATCCAAGCTGCCCCTGTGACTAATCACATTCCTGGGTCATAGCTGACCCCTGCATACCAAGACCATTTCCCCTTAACCCGCCTGCCCCCTGAACTGACGTCTGGTGCTGGGGTGGCTAGTAAGAGGCAAGCTTAATATATTTCTTGCATCTCTCACTAGCTGAAGGCCCCTTCTATTGGTGGTTGCTTTGCAATGCTTGGACTTCTTTGGAGTCGAGCTTGGTGAAGTGATCCCGGTGCGTGTTGCAGTGAGCTGGAGCAGTTAAACAAATGGACCTACTCGCTGGCATGTGGGAGAACAGAGGAAGCTGAGGACATTTTGCCTCCCATCCAAAGCAAGCAGACCAATGAGACCAGCAGACTCCCAGCTCCATTTCTTAAGTGTCACTCAACTGGGCAATGGGCCAGTTGAGACCCTTTGCACAAGTCAGGGCAGGGTTCCCATAGACGCTTTGCTGGCTGTACTGTGCGGGCAGACGCATCTTGTGGCACTGGGGAACGCGTGCGTTTCTGTTGCATTTCTTTCCCTTTAGGTGACGTTTATTATTTCTCCTGCAAATTGCCCTAATCTAAAGATGACGAGTTTGGGTAATAAAAATACCAGCAGGTCTTCCTATCTACAAGTAATTATGTCCCTGTCTACTGTATACATTTGTCACCGTAATGTAACAGCCCCTCGATGTTGGCAACACCACATAATTTATATGTATGAATATTCTGCGTTGGAAAAGGGACAGATGGTTAGAAGCTCTGGTCGAGAAATAACATTTTTTTTTTTTTTTTTTAATACATTAGGCACCATTTTGGGTAAAGCAAGCTTTTGTGGGGGAGGGGGAATTAGATGCTCAAGATGTTCGGCCCATTCTTGGCAAACAGCGTTTTGCCCCATTCCTTCCCTTCACCCCTGTCTCTGCATAGCAGCAGGAAAGCATTAAGCTCTAGGGAAAAAAGAGAGCGAGATCCACAGGTGGGGTAAGTCAGCATTGCTGCATGGAGATTGATTTACGCCAGCTGAGGGACTAGTCTGAAATGCTGGGCTCCCAAGGGCACATCCCAAGTACTTTGTCTCCCTCACTCCTGACGGTGCTGTTTTAAATAAAATGCTGCCTGTCTCAGCAGCTGCCCTGGTAGCCGAGCCCTCTGCTTGCAGACCGCATGGAAGTTAATGGAACAGTTTTGCAAACATGATTGCGGAAAATATCATTTAGAGCTCTGCCTCCCAAAGCAGCTACAAGCTAGTGCCTTGAGGCGGTGGGCTAGCAAGTCAGGCAGTGTTTTCAATCTCACTAAGTGCTTTCCGAATCTCTCCCCCCACCTCCAGCAGCCCCCCTGGGGAGGAGGAGGAGGGAGGGGCTAGGTTGACAGGCTGAGTGTTTTTTGGCAGTGGAAGTCAACAATTAGAGCGCCCGGGGAAGCACTGTTCAGAGACAACACTTTCCGAAGAACGGGTTTCTGAGCAGCCGGAGCTGTTTTCTGCATTTCCTGGTCAGCCACCGAGGAGCCTTGCCAACAGGGATGGGCTGACAATCTCAATAGCAACGGCTGCTGGGGGAAGCAGCCGCATTGTCGCTCCTACAAGCCCTTCTTCCTCCCTCCCAGCCCCCTGCTTTCCCAGATGGGGATTTGCACGTCTGTCCAAGGCGTTTTCCCCCTTCCTTTCCCCTGGTGCGAGCCTTCACATTTCTTCCTTTGTCTCCCTAATAGGTCAAAGGACTGACTGCTCTCTTGCCAGGTAGGTGTGGCTCAAGGAAGCATTGTTATACAAAAATTCCCTTCCAAAAGGATCCTGAACACTGACCAACCTTGGGCCTGCCAAAATTAGCACGGTGAGGTGTGTTTAGCAAATACCTGAGCTAAGTCCTGGGAATGAAAAAAATATTTTTAACCCACCGATGCCTTTGCCTACTCTGGCACTCAATGGTGCTTTGAAAGTGTGCTTAGTTGCATATCATCCTAACGCTACAGCTAAACATGCCTCAGCCTTGTCATCTTGGCAGGGCTTTTGACTGCAGGCTTTATCCTCACTGTGGGGACAAGCCACCAAGGACCGTGCTTCAAGTGCTTTTGATTGCTTAATGGGAGGTGGGGGCAAGTAAGGGGGAACGGTCGTGGAGGGGTTTTCTTTCCCTTTGCCCTGCTGACCCCATCCGGCCTGACATGGAATTGGATTGCAGCAGTACAGAGGCCACGGAGAATAAACGTTTTGTTATAGCTGCGGCCGAGCATCCATCACGGTGCCATAAAAGTCACTGTGTATGGGAAAATAAGCCTCTCGTGGTGGTGGCGGGGGGACACGGACATGGCTTCTGATGGGGGTTTCTGTGGAAGTGCACAAACCTGGGTCTCCAGATTTCTGGTGCTGGGGCTCAGTTGCCCATGAGGAGCCAGAGCAAGGGTTGTGCTTCTCTGCCGGCTTAACAAAGGGAGGGTGATTATTGCTCATCTGAGATGGTTTCTTCATCTCCCATTCCTCATGGTAAGCAGAGCTGACAGGGCCTAATTAGAGCCTGACATCTGTAATAATAAAATATTATTCACTGTGAAACAACTTTAAATATTGAAGAATCATTTTTGCTAATGGTCTAAAATACACCTCATTGCCTGTGACAGCCCATGAAATCTACCTCCTCACTTTTCTCCTTCAGCATGTGTGGGGTGGGGTTTGGGGGGTTTTTTCCACTGAATTTCTGAAAAAAGTCACACGCATCACTGTAGGTCTTAAATGCAATAAAATCCCTTTAGTTAATTCAGGAGCCATCTGCCCTGGCAGGAACTTGGACTGGATGATCCATTACGTCCTTACTGCTTGTGATTCATTTTAACAGGAAACTGTCAGAATATCCAAATTCCACAAATAAGCTAAGAGGAAAGACTTCCAGGAGAGGAGGCTCGCATCCCATTTTGATCAGGCACTAATACCTCCCAACACAAATAGTAATCAGGGGGCCATTTGGAATCGTGGTTTGATTTGGAAAGGGTTTAATGTGGCTGTCAGGTCTTTTTATTTTTGTCATAGGTTATAATAAAGAGCCCATTAACATGTCTATATCAACAGCACAGAAGGAAGCAAATTTGCTGCTCTCCCTTTCCCCCCCACCCTGCTTCTGTTTAAATCACCCAGCATAATGGATCTGCTCTGGAGAGGTGTTTTTTGCAGATTATGGCCAACTTCAGCTAAAGCGAGGAGGTTTATATAATGGATTTCCATATGCTGGGAAGTAAATGGTTATGTGGAGCCTTGTGTCAAGGCAGCAGGCTCCCCTGTGCCAGTTTCAGGATTACAGTGCTTTTATTTTAAATCACTTAAGTCTTTTGCAAAGTTCCTGTACACTGACTGAGTGTAAATCATTCCTGTTGGTTTCTGCATCTGGCTCCTTCCCCCAGCAAACACCAGAACAGTGTGAAACCCCGCACGAGTGAGTCCTTCAGTTGTCAGTCATCATGGTGACTTTTCTCTCTCTCTTTTCTCTCCCTTCTCCATTGATGGCTCATTCTGGTCTTCTGAGCAGTGGCAGGCGCAGCTCTACCATAAGGAAGCAGGTAATAAAGAACTGCTTGAATTGTTAAAAACTTGCCGTGTTCCCCCAAAGGAGCTTTTGTAATTTCCAGCAGTTACAGCGCTTGCACATCCATATCCCCATCCAGCAGAGAGTCCAAAACATTTTGCAAATAATAATGAGGTTAACGTAAGAGCCTGATCTGTGAGAAGGATCATATTATCCCTGTTTTACAGGTAGGGAAGCAGAGGCACAGAAGTTGAGTGGTTTGACTTGGTGCCACGTGCATTGGCAAAACAAGGAACAGGCTGCAAGCCTTGGACCTCCCAGCTGTCCGCATCACCCAACTGTCTTCCCACGTTTATGTGGCCTTATTTTGTCTTTGAGGGTCCTCCTACTAAGCAGTGGGTGGGTTGGCTATGATCAAGGCATGCAAGTTGCAGGTTGAATTAGACCTCTTTGCTGCAGGTGAAACTTTCAGCTGGGACAGAACAAGGCAATGTATTGATTCGGTGTCTACCCCTGTGGCGTGCATGTGGTTACATCAAGGTCTTCTGGTTGGAATATAAGGCCTGCTCGTCTGTGGCACTATCATCACCTCTAGTGGCTGCAGCCTACATAAGCAACAAGCTTGAATATTCCTATATTAAAATTTTGGCTCCTGCATTCCTTGTTTCTTGCTGGCATGCATTCTGTTTACGCTCCTATTAGTGTCTCCTTACTTTTTTACTTCATCCTTTTGCAGTTTTGTGAACTAGATCTGTAACTGCATGCTAGCTGTACCTTTTATTAATTATAAAAGCAACCTCAAGGATTTTTCGGGGGGCGGGTCTTCTTTCCTGTCCACAGCAGATAATTTATTGCCGTGTAAACGTTGGCTTTAATAACAAATGAGCTAAATCATGCTCTTCTGCAGTATGGAGGAATTTGAACATTATTTTTTTTTCACATTAGTAAAAAGAAATAAATAAAGCTTCATTTCATCTGCTCTTTTTTGGTCACTGTCTAATAGTTTGTAAAAATCTGCATGCGCTAGCATTTTAAGATGGCAAGAAAGTGCGTTGTCATTTCTATTTGAAGTCATTGTCCATAGCAGGATAACCAGCTCCATGTGCGTCTAGTCACTAAGCTCGTAGTTTGAGGGTAAAGCAGACTGTGTTTTACATCTTTTTTTGGTGTTTTGAGGAATTGCAGGCAAAATATTTGTGCCTTGATCTGTTTCGAGCAATAATTATAAGCTACACATAAAAAGCCAAAATGCTAGTTTTTGGAAAGTTGGTTTTCATGGTGCATCTGAAGATGTTTGGCTTTACAGTAATTTAGCATGAAGGCTGCCACGGGCTGAAGTCAGATTAAAGGTAGAGTAGTAATTTTGGTGGGGATATTGGTTATGGAATGGTCTGCAGTATGATTTGAATGTTCTTTTCATGGGCGAGGCATAACCTGAATGAAAACCTGGCTCCTGATTACTGAACGGCGCATGTAGAGAATCTGAATTTCCTGTTCTCTGCAGGCTCTCCGTGCAGAGCTGAAGCTTTTGAATCCCCTGGACTCGCTCGTCTGTTGTGGAGATTGTTGCTTTGTTTACATGCTCTAAATGGATCCTTTCCTGTACAGAAAGTGAAATACTTGCCTGTCTGATTATTGATAGCCATATTAATAAGTCATGTTTTGAGCTGTCTTGCCAACCTGCTCTCTAGCATGATTGGACCGGACCTACTGTACCCTCTGACTTGGAAACCTAGACAGAAAGCCAGGCTATTTGCAAAATTGGATCTCTCCATGGTGCATGGTAACCTAAATGCTCGCATGTGGTTGTAACAGTTCTTTTGACTGTGACCTGACCATTTAAATTGCACACTGGGTTGAGGTTTTAATTGCTTCTGGGGACACAGAACATGTGCTTTCCTCTAATGTTCCACTCTAAAATTAGCTGGATACATTGATCTTGCTATTTTGAACTTTGTTAACAAACGTTTCCTCATGGGCCAGTTTAGCTGCAGATTTCCCAGGTGTCCCAAAACACTCCCGTATTGTGCGCTCTGTGGGTATGGCATGAATTCTTCCCCCATCCCTGGCAGGCAGTGTTGCTCTGCCAAGTTGGCACATGGATTTCAGTGTTGTGGAGTCTTTCTTTTTCCCCTTTTTAAGCTGTGCATTTTGACTATTAATTGTCTTCCTTCTTGCTCAGGATTCCAGCCAAGCCATTCCCCTGGTGGTGGAGAGCTGCATCCGATTCATTAGCAGACATGGTAAGTTCTCAGGCAAAGAAGTGTTTGATTCTCTTTCTGGTGTGCGCTCAGCAAAATGAGGCAGGGCCCTGAACGCTAGGAAGAAGGAGCCAGAAACCTGTATTTGGGCCCCAGCCCCCAAACTCAAGGAAGAGGAGATGCAAACGTCAAAAGTTGAAACAGCCCATCAGGTTAATCCCTCTCGAATATGCTGAAGTCACCTTTGAATGCTTAGCGTAGCTTGGTACCACACGTCTGCGCAAGGTGATCGCAGGGTGGGCATGGTGAAGAGAGGGGTGTGCAGCACGGTACACTTGCATATCCCACACACGCGTAGGTGCTGTGTTGCTGCCTGTACTTGAGCTGGGAAATGTGGAGCGTTCAATGGTGCCTCCTCTCTGAGTAAGGAACTATCGTAGTTTCCTTAAGCTTCATTCAGCACAAGTTCCTTATTCACTTCCCTTTAGTCTCACGTGAAGCTGTAGTTGGGTCTCCGACAGTATTCCCCTCCTGAAGGAATTGGCCCTTCACCTCTTGCTGTCCGTCTTGCCAGGTTGTGGGTGTTCCTGGGCCTTTGTTTTTAAGGGTTGTGACCTGCCCCACCTCTGAATATCCACACATCTCCCCCTGTTTGGAGGTCTGAACTATGGTCCTTGCCAGTAACACCCAAGTGACCCTTTGGAAGGTCTCAAATGCAGATGTATTTGCTTGCTTGTTGCAGCAGTGTCTTGAAAGGCTACAGGGGTGTAGGTTGTACATGCACATATTTAAGATTAACACCGTAGCCCTCAATGCTGGAAACTATCTTCTGTAGATATTATTGTAACTCACGTGCGGCCTTCGTGTTGTTTAGTAATGGCATGAAAAACAACCACTCGTTCATAAACTTGTATATGTGCAGGGCCCAATCTCATCGAAATAGTATGCAGAACCAGATAACAGGCCCACTTTCACTTCCTTTTGTTTTGGTCATTCCTTCACTGTGGAAAGTGTTGCGTTGTGTTGCTTTCTCTTCCTCACCCTCACCCCCACCACTTCAACATGTACTTATGAAAAGTACAATTTGAAATCGGAGAAAGCCAATTCGTGTGGCCAGAGGAGAATTATAAAGGATTGACTTCTTGATACGTTCACACTATGGGAACCAGCTTTGTTACGGATTTTAAACGAGTGTTTTCCTCTAGTTAATGGTTGGATTTCAATTTCACTTGTGCTGCATTTGTGTATACATGTATTTGTTCTTAATTTAAGCATGCAACGTGATGCATGTATAGATGAAACCAGGAATAAGTATGAATCCTAGAATAATTGGACGCTACTATCTTGTGATTAAAAAGTACCAAAAAATATGAGAGAGCACGAGCCACAGATCCAGTCTAGCTGGCTTGCTTGTTATGTGCACGTCACTGTAACATGCTCGGAGCTTTGCAAAGAGCCCATGTTCCAGGGGGCTTATGATACGAAGGGGAAGGCCTGCTTCCTTGTGTTGAAACTCCTTTATGCATGAAAATGTTGGACTGCAACTTTTGCCATTCATATTTCATGTGCCAAGAAAAATGTTTTTATAGTAATATACCGCAATACTTCACCTACTTGTCTATTGCTTTTAATGACTTTCTAATGTCTGTTACTCTACTGGAATATCTTGCGCTCCCCTCGAGTTCCAGGTATCACATTAAGTCGCATTAAATTCTGTAATTCCAACTGGATAAATTGCTTTTTGCTTCTTGTCCTGAACTGGTTTCTAATGTTGTGTTTCAACAAGAAATGGGTTCTGTGTTCTGCTCCAAAGAGAGGCTGCATTTCCAGAGCGGGTTGCTTTTAAGCTAGCCTGCAGCTTGTATACATGTCTGTTAGGTTTGTAAAGTGCTTTGGGATACTTCCAAGATGAAAGAAGTTGTGGAAAAAGGTTAAGATACTATTACTTATTATTCCTGTAGCGTACTGGCGAAGTGAATATTTTTTCACCTTCTTCCAACATGTCAGCTCTGTTCTGCCTTGCAGTCTTGCTCTGAGATTTTGTAGGAGGAAGTTTTTACAAAGAGGGGCAGAGCATTTGGCCCGTCTCGGTTCTGTTTATGCTGTTGTACCGATAGGACCCCGTATAGACTTACATGACATTACCTTGGCAGAAGTGGAATTGAGTTGGTCTTTGACTTTCCTTATGGTTTTTCCTGCTGTTCTTTATAGGGTTGCAGCATGAAGGGATATTCAGAGTGTCTGGATCACAGGTTGAGGTGAACGATATCAAAAACGCATTTGAGAGAGGTAAGGGGCATCACAGAATCAGTTGCCACATGCTTCCATATACTGCAGTAACCATTGTAAAATAGCTTTGCCGTCTTGAATGCAACGGATGGTGTTATATTTCATTTTTGAATGCTGACCACTATATAAGTGACTCGATGCAGAGCATTTTTCCAATGCTTGTTAACCGTGAACATCTGAAGTCACTTGGCATTACGTTACACATCTTGTAACATCACCGTCTAACAATCATTCAGAATGTCATCACCTGCCATGGCTGATGGTTTAATGACTCCGTGCATCCTTAAAGGTGCAGAGCATTTCCTCAATAGGAGTAATTGCCTTGTCTCATTTTTTTTTCTGTCTTGTAAATGGCTCCTGTCTGCCTTCTGCATAGCCCCTGGCCCTTGGTGCAATTTCATGCAACTGATGACTTTTGTGAAGCTCTGCGCCTGCTTTTAGTCTAGACATGACCGGCCAGAGAGGCGTTCTCAGGTCACTTTTCGTTTCTTAAGAATTTTAATGCAGTTTTCGGTGTGTATGGGATTGGCCCTCTGACCCATGAGTTCATAGCTGGCCCAATCTCCTTGCCTCAGATGGACCAGAGGAGTTGGTTACCTCTGAGATCCTCGCAGCCTCATTTGGGACTCCAGAAATCATGACTTTTGGTGCATATCATTTATAACACAAAACATATGTTTTCACATGCGCTTGTCTCTCCAACACGTATACCTAAGCATAGGAAATTTCCACTGCCATGTATACCAGTGGGTGTGTGTGTGTGTGACAGATCTTAGAGATGTCACCCTGTTCTCCCGAATGAACTGGAAGATCTCGGAGAACAAAGGAAGTGTGTGCATGCCTGTGTTAGAGGTTGAGGGGGAGGTATGGTTAAGGGTCTACAGCAGCTGACCCAAAGGCTTTTATTTTTGTTTTTTAAAGTAAAGGACAGGTGTCAGGCAACGCTGGGAAAATAGCCTCTTGTTCCAGCACCACCCCACTGAAATAAATAACATTGATTTTTTTTAGCTTGTCCCTCTGAAGCAGATGATGTAGAGACCTCACAAAGTTAACAATAATGTCTGTGCAGTTTACTACTTCATCCAGAACCCACGGTGGCAGTTAATATCAAGGATAATGCTCTGCTTCGTAGTGGCCCATTTATTATCCTGTGTGTTATTAAGGTAATAGGCGAGCTTTGGTAATTTCAGTCACATAATGGATATATATAGCTTCGATTTGAGGTTTGCCCCATCATTAAATCTAATTATATCTGATAGGGGATTTTCCGCAGGGAGCAGTTCCTGAAGTGGGTATCTTTTTCTTTGTAATACAGACAAACTACAGCATATGTACAATCACAAATGAACTACCCCACAAGCCCTTCTTCTTCTGCCAGTCCAGCACAAAACATCTGCTTCCTTCCAAGCCCAGCCATGGCGGCAGTTGGCAAAAGCACCACCCTCCTATGTTTGCTGATAAATCCAATCCAAAATGAAGCACAGACCTGCCTAGGGCAGTGCTCTCAAACCCTCTAATGCTGCTACCGTATGCTGGGTGCGTTGTCTCCTTCCTCCAACCAAAGCATTGATTGCAAAAGCCTACTGAAGTTACGGCTCCGCTTCTCTCATGCTCATGGGTGGGCAGCTACAGCGATCCGATTTTTTTGATCGGGGGCATATGACGACCTTGTTGTCTGCAGGCTGCTGTTAGGGGGCTTTCTTCTCTTGACCGCTGTCTGTAAAGGGAGGGTCTCCCTCCCTCCCCTTGCCTGCTGGGCAGTCAGGTATATTTGGGCCACCTGGATCCTTTTCCCTGGCCAAGACCTTTCCTTCCAGCAGGGTAGCGTTGGCTTCTTCTCCGGCCTTGTCATTCTCTCCTCCTCCTCCTCATGTTCTTGTAACTAGGGGAGGATCCACTGGCCGGGGACCAGAACGACCATGATATGGACTCAATCGCAGGGGTTCTGAAACTCTATTTTCGAGGGCTGGAGCACCCTCTCTTCCCGAAGGACATCTTCCACGACCTGATCGCCTGTGTCAGTAAGTATGGGGAGAGGTGGTCTTTTCTGCTTGAAACACAAGATGCGAGAAGAAATGCATGGGTCCTTTTTACTGCCCCCAAACCTATTCCTCCTCTGTCTGCCTTTGTCCCTCTGCCCCTGATCTAATTAAGGTAATTAGGGTAAACTTTTGCATGGCACTGAGAGTGTCAGTTTTATTTTGCAATGCAGCTGAGAGCGCTTTCTTGAGCATCACCTCTCCAAAGTCTTTATTCTGATCTCTTAGGCCCTGGACCCCAGCCGCTGTCAAGAAAAGACTGCTTACCTCTGGTTTTGAACCATTCCTTACTCTGACAGCAGGGTCTATATAGAAAAGCAAGTCGGAGAACAGCACGAGTGGGCTTCTCGGGAGCTGTAGCCTGCTTCCAGGGTGGCAGCCACTGCGTCTTCCAAAATGCTCCTCATAAAGCATTGCCTTAAAAAAAAAAAAAAAAAAAAAAATAATAATGGCCTTTAAGACCTCAGTTCAGTGCTTGTAAGTGCTATATTGGAAGCACAGACTAGGTGGGGGTTTTCCTGTCCTGTCTCCCATCCCTAAGGCTGGGGAGATATTATCCAGGATGCCTATTCTAGTGCTTGCTGTGTGTATCCAGGCGGAAAACAGCTGTTTTTTTAATGTGCCTGAATACCTTTTCCATAAGCACGAGGGGATCCTTATGGACTCTGGCTATGGAATATCTAACATGAGAGCATTCATAGTCCGGCTGTGACCAACTTTGATCGTTTCAAGGGTTCTTTTTTTTTCTTTTTGTTCTTGGCAGCCCAAGTTTTAAATGGGCCCATTATTGCCGAGTCATTCAGGAGCAAAGAATGACTCCATTGTCCGAGCGGCAGAATATCCATCGCAGCAGCAGCCTTTGAAGTGGAGCAGAAGATAACTGCTTCCGAAATGACTCGTGGTTTTCTTCTCGCAGTAAATGAGTTTACAAAGTTGAATTCATATTAGATGAAAGGCGAAGTCTGCTTCCAAATAACGTTGCCCTTCCAAGACTGAGGATTTATGCTGCCCACTTGTTTCTCAGTAGGCTGCTGCACAGAGAGCTTTTACCTCACCCTTTAACTATGTTAATCTCTCTTCTGAGTTTTGTACCAGAGATTTTTTTTTTCTCTCTCGCTAAACACCCACCTTTCAAAGTTAGCTTGAATGAGCTTTTGTGTTGGAACTACTGAAACAGATGACAGTCGGCGCACCCACGCCATGAGGGAACCTGTGGCTTTGACGCATGCCATGCACTGCTGCTGTAAAAGCTTTCACAGAGCAGGCTCTGCGTAGCTCGCATCCTCCCACAAGAGAAGAGCAGAGGAAGCGAACAGACCCTTCCCTCCTCTGCCAAGTACCTGTGCTCCTTGTCCTGGCTTTTAACAACGTGCACACCCCCATAGGGAACCTCCAAGCTTACCACGCAGATGCAGGTTCAGTGCGTCTTATGGCCCCGGTGTTTTAAATTAACTCTTGTGTGTTCTTCTGTCCTTTCAGCAATGGATAACTTACAAGAGCGAGCACTGCACATCCGGAAGGTCCTTCTGAACTTGCCCAAAACCACTCTGATTGTAATGAGATACCTCTTTGCATTCCTCAATCAGTGAGTATTCCTGAAAGCCCCAGTGCCTTGCAGTAGCAGGTGGCAACTGTGTAAATGTGATGGATTATAAGGTTGGAGGCTTGATGCTCGGCAGTATCTGATCAGAGCAGCAGTTCAGGCTACGAGAGCCATTTTCTGTACTCTGTTGCCTCTCAGCCTCCTGTTTAATTATTGTGTTGGCTTTGCTGAGCCCCTCAGCCTTATGCATTGCAACTGGAAGAATGTTTTCAGCAATCTTGACAGAGTTCAAGTGCTGAAAATTAATACGACGCAGTTGGCTTGGAAACCGAGTGGAAATGCAACATGCGGGATGAGAATGTGGGTCCCCAGCCAGCAAGAGGCAGCGTGTGCTATTTAAGCAATGAGCTTGATCCTTCTTGGGAAGGGAAGAGAAGGATCTTCTGTATTTTTGAGCCACCTGCCACAGCTGGCTGGTATGTGGGGCATTGCTGGCAGAGGGAGCCTACTCTTGAACTCTGTTCAGCACTTGGGACTCTTGAGAATGGTAAGAATAAGAAATGTGGGAGCTAGAAAAGGGACTTCAACATGGCCTGTGTGGAAGCTAGTAAAGCAGTGGAGGTGATGCTATGTTGCTGCTGTTCATCATGTCTACACTGCAAAAGGGATAAGAAATAGAGATTTCATTAGGGAGGAGATGCTTAAAATACATATGGGATACATGCAGGATGCAAGCTTGAATCCATCCACAGATCCAGAACAACCCTGGGTTTTCTCTCAGCTGTGAGCTTTCCACCAGGCCTTTTTTAGAGCAGACTGAACTAAATGTCTGGATTAAAGCCTTTCCAAACTCTGGGGAAGTTGAGCTCTGGAGCTGCATTTTTCAGGTCACCACTAGTCATTGCCAAAGCTGCTGGCAGGGAGCATTTAAAAGGAGGTGACAGAAAACAACAACTGTCCTAATAGCTCTAGGTGGGTGTTTCTCTGTCTGCTTGACCTGTGATAATTGTGGAAGCGAGGGTACTAAAAGCTTTGGCTGCTAGTACTTCAGAGCTGAACTCTGTAGAGCATCATTTTATTCATCACCGAGTAGTGTCATTCTAGCAGCTTGGAGGATGAATGCGTCATCCTTTTCCTTATGATGAGCTTAATGTCTAGTGCTGCAATTTGAGGTTTCTGCTATAAATAACTTGGAGGGAGCTGGACCCTCTTGCCCTCTCATCACTGTCCCATAGGGCATGCAAACTATCTAGACAAAGCAGGCCCTTACCCCTTTCACTGTGCTTCCAATAAAGTGCAGGAAAATTGGGTTTCCAGAATGGATTAATGTTTCTACTTCGTGGCCCAGGAGGAGCTGTCCTTTGAGAAATAGCGTGTTTAGTTTGTGTGGAGCTTGGGAGATAGGATTTCTCCAAGCAACTGTAGAAATACATTGATTTTAATCAATAAGTAAATGTGCTACTGCCATTGAGCAAACAGTGGTATGGAACAGTGCAGCAGAACTTGCCCTGAAGCTCAAGGGACTGAGCTCTGTGTGTAGACATACCTCTGCAACTCCCATTGACTTTCAGCTGAAAAGAAGCAATCCTGGTAGCTTGTTCAATTGTGTTGGCTCTTGGATTAGTAGGACTTCACAAGCCACCTGGATTTATAAGCGTAGAGCTCCATAAGAGCCCTCCGGCTGCCTTCATAGGAAAGCCAAAAGCGAGGTAAAGCTCACCCCAGCTTACAGACTTACTCCCGGAGGCTGTGAAATACGCAGAATTGCAAACTAAACAGGACCAGGCCTAGTTTGACCTGGATGGGAGACTCATCAAGAGAAGCCCCACGTGCTCTGGGACCTGGGACTGATGTTTCTGTGGATGTCGCTCTTTCTTCTGAATACAGGACTGTTACCTCTCAATGATAGCAAGGGCATTATGTTCTCTCTTAAATGAGGCATGAAACTGAGATCCTACTGCTTGTACTAATTGCAGGGCCCGTTTCACTTTGGTAGAGTGCATCTAGATGCCAGGTCAAAATCTTACCTAAACCTACCTTGAAAGAAATCTTACCTAATCTTACCTTGAAAGATGCTATTTTTTGGTTGTACATTTGAACAGCTGCTGTGCTCCACCCTAGAGGTATCTGCATTGTCCTGGTAAGTGAAGTAACTCTTGTATATGCAGATTGACCAAGGACTCTGGAAATCAGGGTATAAATGTAATACGACAATAGGTTGGCTGTAGTGCTCGCATAGCAGTCTGCATTAAATACTACAAGGACAAGACTCTTTGCTGAGTCTTGGGCTTCGTTAGCTATTCTTGATGAATGCTACTTGCTTACATAAAACTACATGAAAAGTCCTTATGATGATGATGTGGGGATCCTCTGATGTGTATCTGGATGTTCTTCTGTGGAAAATGAAAACGCGTTCACAAAACGACCACTGTCCTCTCTTCCCTCCAAGCTGCAACATGGGAAAGGCTGCAGTGCATCCTCTTTCCGCAACAGTTTATGAAGGAAGTTCTTTCCTGCCTCGAGACTCTCTTTCCACAGATGTCACTTCTGGAGTCATTGAAATAAATATTCCCTTCCAGCCTTTATAGCTTTAGATTATCCCAAGAAGTGAACTGGAAAACAGGGCTTTTAATAGGGGGAGGCAGGGGGTAGGGTGCATACTGTAATGTTGCTCTCTGATGCTTAATCATTAATTGGGTGCCCCAAAAGGCTTGAATTACAGGCTTAGGGTAAAATTTATTCAGATGAAAATTGTATGTTTTAAAAACACAGTTGCTCTGTGGGAAATGCAGCATTGAGAGGCACTAGGGGAATCTTAGATAAGCTCGGTAAAAACCCTTGATGAGAAACCCTTTGGCTCTTTGGGAGCAGGCTGACTTTACAGGCTGCTTTACCAAATACGCTCAGTCAGGCCAAGGGGACCAGGCTGAGCTCAGAGCTGCAAACCGATTATGAACAGCAGTGATAAAGCAGAATGTCCTTCCTCTTGTAAAGTCAATGGCCCAGTACCTTTCAAAGCAATACAGTCCCCGAGCTTCTAAAATCCCTTTGAGGTTTCTAGCTGTAAGTGGCCTAGTTATTAGACTTCAAAGGCATTCTGTGTGTCACCGAAACTAACGCTAAGTCCTAGCGGCTCTCTTTCCGTAGGAAGCAAGAGCTTGGAGTTTAAGCTTTGGGCTTGGGACGAGCTCGGGCTGAGGGAGGTGCGAATGGAAGGGAGCAGAGTGGTTTCTTGACTGCCAGCTTCCTTGCTGTATGCAGAGCCCCACGCTGCGATCTGGGGAGCAGCAGTGCCTCAGTCAAGCTGGCACTGGGCCTCTTGGCTGGAGCTCGGGTGTTATCACGGCAGCTGCTTTCTGTGCAGGGTGCACCATGTTATCACGGCAGCTGCTTTCTGTGCAGGGGGCAGAAAGCAGACCACATGTAAATAAATCCCGGGCACTGAAATCTAGGCGGCCGGAAGAATAAACCGTTCCACCAGGGAACTGTCTGGTGACACCTTGTTTTGTAAGAAATCCTGGGCACACTAGTTGAGGAAGACATTAGGAAAACGGAACGTGCCCCATCAGTTCAATAAAGAAATCTGTGTGTTGGCAAGCGGGAAAGTTTTCTCCGCTTCCAGCGAAGGCTGCAGCTAGGAAGCTCTATTCATGCAAGTCGGAGCAGATCAGATTGTCGGATCCCAGGAGGGGCATCTAGCAGAGTTCCCCGTTTCCCAGTAAATGTCATCATTTTCTCTTGTTTTCATCTCTCTTGACCCAAAAAGATTCATGGCCCAGTGGATCAGGCTCAAAGAGCAGAGCGCTCTGAGATAATGCTCCAGATTCCACTCTCTTTTTCCTCGCAGGAAATACTGCTATTGTTTGCTCTGGTTAATCCTGCTTCCCCTCCCCCCCTCAACTTTCCCCTGTTTTTTTGCAGTTTATCTCAGTTCAGTGAAGAGAACATGATGGATCCTTACAACTTAGCCATCTGCTTTGGACCCACGCTGATGTCTGTGCCTGAAGGCCACGATCAGGTCTCCTGCCAGGCTCATGTCAACGAGCTGATCAAAACCATCATCATCCAACATGAGAACATCTTCCCAGGACCAAGAGAGCTGGAGGGCCCGGTCTATAGCAGAGGTGGAAGCACAGAGGATTACTGGTACGTTGGGAAGTGTGTGGGGAGGGCAGAAGGTGCACAGTGCTTGGGTTTCTCCTGTTTAGTGAATTGTACAAGGTAGTCGAGTGCTGTGCCTTGGATCGGATTCTGGAGTCGGACCCAATTCCAGAATTTAAACATGTTCCAAAGCCTGGACTGCGAAAGAACAAATGGTCCTTGTCTCTTTGGAGAGCTGCTAGCTTATGTGATGCAGACAAGCTTTGGCAGAAGGTTGCCAACCAGACAGATGTCAGACCTGTTCTTTGCTAACCTGAAGGATGGTCCTGTGGCTGCCGGTTTTGGCTATTCCGGCAATGACCACGACCACCTTGGCAAAGCCACGCAGCTGATGCCTACGTTCACAACTTGAGTTATTCTCACTTTTCTTGTTTTCTTTTTGCCTGCCCTGAGCAAGCTTGCTTTAGTGACAGGGTCGATTGCAGCTGAACCTAGAAAGCTGCAGCAGGGTTTGATTTTTTTTTTTTGTTCAGGACAGCACCGACAGAAGGAAAATACAAAAGCACCATTTCCATCCTACCCAAAGCCCAGGAGATCAGGCCTCGCGTTCAGTCTGCAGGCAACATCTGGAAGCAATTCAGCCAGCGCGGCTCCTGTCATCTGGGGTGGAAGGTTGGGGAGGGGAGAAGGGAGGTGTTTGCTTTCCTAGTGGCTGAATTGATCTCTCCCACCTCCCACTGAAAAGGAAGAATGTTAAACTGCCTCTCCCCACCCACTAACCCCCAGGAATGTAAATGATTATTTTTATATTCATTAAAAAATAAATTGAAGTCACGTTCGCGGCAGAGCTAACCTCGGTTTGGTTTTTCGGCTGTGTTGCAAGCTAATGTAACTCTTGTCGCTGCAGGTATCAACTGTGAGGTAGCTCCATACAAATTGCTCCAGCTCGACTCGGAGGCCTTTCGCCAAAGCAGTTCAATTCATTTAGCTTTCATAGCTGATGTAGGGGCGTTGCCCATATCTCACTGGCTGGCTCAGTTGTATGGGTTGCCTTAAATCCTGTGTTGTCATGAAATGTGAGGTTTGCCTATAGGGAGAGGGGGATGAAGATATTGAGTGTTTAGTGCCTTTTATTATTTGATGTATGCATAGACCTTCACACGGGCACGACAGAGGGGAAGGCTCCTACCCCCGAGAACAAAGGCTTCACCCAAACCTGGCCACAACAGAGGACACAGTTCGGGGCACTTCTGTGTAACCTGAATAGCTCCAGTTTCTGTGGCTGTCAGGAAGCTTTTTTCAATCGTAACCTGCTTTGGAAAACATTAGGGTACCTGGATGCAGGTAGTTGAGGGGACCACGTAAAGTCAGACCCTTCTCTACTCGCCCTCCATTACGAACAAGACTGTCTCTGCATTTGGGGTTGGAGGCATGGAAAAGAGAGGATAATTAGTCCTAAAATATCCCATCACGCATCTCAATTTACTTTGCTGTGCACATTAGAAAGGCCTAGTAAAGCACTGTCTAACCGGGGCGGTAGTCAGAGTCTAGGAATCCTGCCCTTGGCCACGTGAGGCTCGGAGAGTGGCAAGGGAGAAGATGGTTTGCATAGAGCTCCACTTGCTTTGCATTCCTCTGGCAGTATGTTTTGCTGACACTTCCCCAGCATTCGTGGAGAAATCCAGCAGCCTAGCACTTCCCGTGGCAGCATCCGAGGGCCCGTGTGATAGAAAGGGTCTTTCTGTAGCAGGGGCAGGTTTTGGTTTAAAGTGCTGCATGAGGGGGAAGGGAAGGCATGCGACCTGCCTGCTGCTGCTGGTTTTTTTGCAGTGTTTAGATCATTAGAGCGGGTTGCACACTGCATTACTTCACAGTCTGGGTGAAACCTTAGCCCCTAATACTAGAGCCCTCCTGGGGCTTCCCGTTGGTTTTAAATTCTTTTATAAACTTTGCAAAGCCTTTATCTTTCCTAGTAAGGATGGGAAAGTGGACTAATGCCTTCCGAGGTACGCGCTCAGAAGGTGGCTAGGAAGCAGAGTGTTTGTTATGTGGATTAAGTGTAATGAGATGCTAGCGTTGTTCAGGTTTGGGGCTTTTTGAGGGGGGAGGTTGGTTTTTTTTGTTTTCTTTAAACATAGAGGAGGTATCACACAAAGATTTTTTTTAAAGGAAAACACAAGGCTTTGGTGAACTCTGAAGTCGGGAGTTTTAGGGCCAAAAAAGACGGATCAAGTTGCTGCTCTCTGAAGAGAAGTAAAAAATACTTTTGATATGATTTAAGGTCCACTCAGTGTAGCACACAAGGCTATAAACCTGTCTGCAAAAGGGCTCCATCCAGTCCTTGCTTCATTCCTCCCGGAGCATAAGACTTGAGAGCAAACAGGTTTTCCCTTCATCAGCCACTTCTGGTGTAAGGGAGGGGAGACCGGTCCCCACAGAGTGGTTCAAGGTGTGCTTGCAGAGTAAAGACAGACGAGCCTTCGTTGCCAACTGGCATTCAGCTCCGCAGGGTTGCGTGAGAGAAGCTACGACTTCTCTTTGCATTCTCCTTTCTCCGGCCTCGAGGAGCTGCCTTCCTGGCTCCTTAATCTTCAGGCAAACAAGTTACATGGAGGTAAGGGAGGATACAACTTAGTGCTGCCTACTCCCCAGTAACTGCCCACGTGCACGCTCTCACCCCCTAGTAAATGTGAGATAACTTGCTCGTTGTCACGGAGGGGGTCTGCTGCCTTGCACTTACCTCCGGGTAAGTGTGCGCGCACAGGCAGTTATCCCAGCGTAGCTGCCGCCCCAAGTTCACGCCCTACTTCTACTTTGCAGTAACTTGCTCTTGTAATCCTGCCATTAGGGACGCATAACCTTTGTTTTCCTCTTTGTGTGCATGTGATCTTATTAAAGCTTTGTCTCCTGTAATGTTTAGACATGAGATCTATTAGTGCTTAGACGTCTGTAAATAAAGACCCGAGCAAGTTAATATGATATGGGAGTCTCTTGTTTGATGAAATGAAAAGGAACATTTAAACTGATCATCAGGAAAAAAAAATCTGAAACATCTTATTAAAGTGGAATAATCTCCCCTAGGGAAGTGACAGACATCTCATCACTCAGGTAACTAGCTAATTAGACAGAGCAGCGGAGAATATAGCGTAGGAAATAATCCTGGTGTGACAGAGACGACGAACAAAACCTAATATGCCTTTTCTGTCTCTGCCTTTCCCTTCAGTCTCCCGAGAGCTGGGTTATGAGGTCTGAACTCTGGCTTGCCTGCTTTAATTTCCTGACAATGTACACAAGGTGAAGAATCTGCTCCGTCTGCTGAAGCAAATTAGGGCTTAGCTTGACCTTAACCTCACTGATTTCAATGCATGGAAATGAATCCCCTTTCCACAGAGGAAAGTGAAATCTAGGTTTTCAGATCCAGTAGTGTCAGCTGTGACTTCCCGAGACGGCAGGACTTAATTTCCTCCAGGGTAATACATTGTCTCTCTCCTCCCATGCAGTGAAAGCCCTCACGGGGAGACGGCCTCAGCAGACGATTCGGCTCAGGATATAACAGCTGAACACCATACCAGCGACGATGGTATGTGAAGCCTTCGGCCACTTGTAAGACAGTCCAGTTTGAGGGGATGGTGTTACATGGTTGAAATTCAAAGGGAGATAATCTCACGGGGAGTTGAATGAGAGGAGACCTTATGTGCGGGCCTCCCTGCCCGAAACCGAAGAAGGGAGGCAGCCAGCAGGGATTTTTAGACACCGAGTGACTCTCCAAAAACACCCAGTTGCCCAGCGCTCCCTCTCTCGGCAGCCCCTCCGGCATGCCCCTTCCTCAGGAAACGTCGTGCACAGGCTTTCTGTGCTCTTGGTGTTTGGACAGGCCTTTGCACCGGGAAGCGTGAGCTCAGCAGAGCGCCAAGCAGCGAACGTGCTTGGGCCTGCTCTCCCACTCCCCTCGGCGCATGCTGCTTGCCAGGCTTCTCCCCTTTCAGTGGCCTTGGCAGGCAGCAGCCTGCGCGTGTGCAAGCTCCAATTGCTTTTATTTCAAAACAACAAGCCAAAAAAAGGGAGAGGCCCTCCCCCTTTCCCCCCAGGAGCCAGGCCCGGGGGTGGGGGGGATCCTTCCCGCTCCTGCTCCTCACCCCCTTATTCTTGGGGACGAACGGCTGACCAGTGCACACACCACAGCCTGACCTACTACAGCACCCTGCATTTGCTGCTTATCCGTCCCAGTTATCCGCCCCCCGGGGGTCTCCTGGGACTAGAGGGGCTGCTGCAGGTCGAAGGGGGAGCATGGTTTTCAATCGGATGGCGTCCCTTTTTGAGTCGCCCTTTAACAGCCTGGTTGACATTATGTGCTTGGGCCTCTCCCGTGCTTTATCGCTGTGCCAGCTAACGAACCCTTCCCTCACCCACGGCCCGTTCCTGCTGGCTTAACAATGTTGGCTCGCCAACAAGGAAGTAAATGCTACTGAACCGCGTCACCTGCCGCTCTGCCAGGAGAGTGGGGGTCAAGACTAGAAGTTTCTTTTCAGACTGTGCCAAGGTGTCAGAGGGAAGTACCAAGATGAGGGGGATGAAAGGACGTGACTTCAGAGTCTCTGTTAAGCAGCTTGTTCTTCTGAAAAGTCACAGGCCCTTAACCATGCATGGGAAATTGAACTGCTTTCCTACTGAAGGAGTTTGATCACTCTAAGGAAAGGCAAACTCCCTTCTCTGTTTACCCAGAAGTGTAAACCGGGGTCAGATTTTGCCTGTTGACAAACTTAAGAGGCTTGTTTAAAAGATAACATTATCTACTTACTGCTTGGTTGGCGGCTGAGTCAGCTTCTGGGCATTGGGTGAAACGGGTGTATGCATCGCACATTCAGGTACCAACTCCCAAGACAAAATGACCTTGGGGTTCGGCATGCTATGCATGCAACGGCTGCCTGGTCTAGTTCGTAGATGCTTAGAAGCACATCAGCACAAGAGCCAAGTCATGCCCCCGCATCCTGAAGCTCACTCGCTGGCAGAGAGGTAGAGAGCAGGAGCGTCTCTCTGTAAAAGGTCGTGGTTGTTTCTGGAGCTGCCGTTCTGCTAACTTTCGACATGATGTACGAGTGACTGGGCACTCCAAAGCTGGGGCTGGCACACCCTCAGCAACATAATGAGGCCGTAATGAGAGCATATCCAGGCTCTTTGAGTTATGAATTGATGGAAAGACGTTAAACCGTTGCTCTCCTGCACAGTTTTTGAGGCTAGGGGAGCAGAGGCTCTCGGTCCCTATTCACAGCTCTCTCCCCACAGAAGGAGCCTCATACGGCAGCGCTACTGGAAATCTGAGTCTAAAATCACTCGTTTGGCGAAAAGCCATAGTCCTAAAAAGCAAATTGGAAATGTAAGAAACTCGAGTGCACCGCTCATTTGGAATAATAAACAATTGTTAATGAAATGGGGATGAAATTCATCCAAGTAGAGTCCCCTCCCTTTGTAAATGGAAAAAAACAAGCTCTGAAAACGTGAACGTGATTTTGCTTTAACCGGGCCGCATGACTTGGCTCCGAGAGCCAAGCGAGCAAGAGAAAAGGAGGTAGCCAGAAGCAGATAACCACATGCTCAGGGGACTCTAAACCAGAAAAACAGAACTGTTCCAACCTGAAAACACGGGCAAGCTATTTTTCACTCTTGCAAACACCTGGCTGGCTGGCGTGGGCTGATAACTGGAACAGTCTGTAGCTGTCCGTAGACCTACCTAAAGTGTATGATGAAGTAGGATTTGCGTTGTGTGTTTTAGCAATAAGAAAACTTGTTCTTGAAGGCTCAGTCCCAGCAGATGCTGTGGTTGCTCAGCCTTGGCCCTCGGTCTTTCCGTGCCCTGCAGCAGCACATGTTAATCACAGTGCTTCAGTGGCTAATGCTTCTGCTGGGCCGTCTCAGACTGCCTGGTCAGACGGTGATACCACATCCCCTGTACTCCCACCTGGATTTACACGGGTGTCTGCAGACTACGTCCCAGCCAGTGCCGAGAGCCCGTTTCTGGAGTGCCTACTTCAATTTATAGGGGCTGCAGAACATTTGCTCCTAAGATCCTCTCCGGCTGGCTGCTGCACTGTTGAGGTCAGGCACGTGGGAGCTTCCCTCAAGCTGACAGCAAGCTGAAGGCAAAATAATGACATATCTTTTGGGAGCGACGGGGCCTGTGTTCTTGGTGCCAGAGAGAGGAAAGGGCTGGGCATTCCTTGAAGTTTTCTTCCTAAAAAGAAGCAGAAATTTCCATTAAGAGGCACCTGCCATGCAGCTTCTTGGAAGCTGTGCAGTACAAAGGTATAGGCAGCCAAGCTCGCCCCCTTTCCTTGATTCTGTTTAAAGGAGGGGAAGAGGGTTTTTTTTTTTTAATTGGTATCCTGTCTGCAAATGAGAATCCATCTTCTGCAAAACTTTAAAAATAATCCCTGCAATCTTACACGGATCCGCCTCCGACTGACTGTCTAGACATCTGTACTGTCCGCCTCTGCACAATATCTGAGTTCTGGGGGTTGTTGGAAGCTGGTCACCCTGTGTTTTGTGACAGTCCATTGCAAGTTCCTCAGGCAAGAGCTGTCTGGTTGTGTGTCGCAGCGCTCCACATGTACCTAGCTTGTGCTCAAGAAATCGTGCAAATCCAGCAGCACGGAGCGGCTGACGCTGAGCCGCTCCACAACAGGCATTGGTAAAGATACTGGATATTGTGTTCACTTCCACAGCAGTTCCTTAGATAGATCAGTGTCCTGTCGAGTTGTGATCTGCAGTCTTCTGGGCCAGACAGGCTCTCAAGACAGGAGAATTTCTTCCTGAACAGAGTCCTTATTTCTGACGCAGCTTGGAATCTGGAGGCGTTTCCCTCCCTAAGTGCCGACGACAGCCGCTGCTTGCCAGCGCAGGAGGCACGAGTTATCTGCCTTGGAGGAAACCTCCCTAGATAGTTTTTGTCCCTGACATAACTTCTTGGTCCTTGATGGTGGTGACTCGGGACGTGACGGGTGGACTTTCTGGCTCACGTTTTCTTAATACACGGGGATTGTTTCATTGACGCGAGATTCGTGGAGGAGAAAATGCAGAGGTGTGTGCAGTTGGTAGATGCGAGATCAACCCAACAGTAGAGTTCCCATGTGTGTGACAGATCCACACCCAAATCTTGATGCTTGGACCCTGTTCTGCATTGTTACCAGATGACACTTCATGCTGTGTGCTGCGGTCTGCTCTGTATCATTTTCATGGGAGAGGTTCAAACTCCTGAATGTTTTCCTGAGCCCTAGTGTTCACTTCACTGCTGATGTTTTGTTCCCTTTTGTCTCTCCTAGAGTGTGAGCCCATAGAAGCGATAGCAAAGTTTGATTACGTTGGCCGAACTGCACGGGAGTTGTCCTTCAAAAAGGGGGCTTCTCTTTTGCTTTACCATCGGGCTTCAGATGACTGGTGGGAAGGACGCCACAATGGAATCGATGGACTTATTCCTCATCAATACATCGTTGTCCAAGACACGTACGTCACCTGTGTTAGACCCTGCGTGGGGATGGGGGCCGCTGAATGCTGGGAAAATTTGGGTACACTTAAAACTGCAAGAAGAACCATTCGAATTTGAACATCCGTGTTGAAGTGTTAGGGCCTGCACTGGCTTGGAGGCCTTTCAGCCCCCAACACCGCAAGCTTCTCCATGTCAGAGGTCAGAAACAGGTCCATGGTCCTCTTGCCCTTGTTGGGCCAACATGGTTAAGACATGATCGTTTCAGAAGCCAGCGGCACACAGTGCCACAGCCTTTGATTGTGCAGCTAGAAGGACCAGGTGCCTGTTTTTGACTGCATTGGGGGGCGGGAGGGAGATGAAGGGTAGGTAGCAGGGGAGAGCCTTTGGGTTGTATTAACTACCATGGCACTGTGCCGCCTTGTGCAGGAGAAACCCCACAGACATCAGTGGGCTTCCATGTAGGCGCAGGGGTCCCCTTCTCTGCAGTTTGCTGGTTCAGCATCTTTGCTGTCCAAGGGTTTGTACACACACTGCGCTTACACTAATGTAATTGGCCTTTATGCTAGAAAGGACACACTCCTGCCTTTATATGGGCCTGCATTGGTGTAACACACTTGTTTCTGGGTGAAATCAGGGACAAAAGTATACTTGTATAATTCACACCAGCGTAGTTGTATCTGTTGCTTATGGTAGAGTAGCCACTTTCTCAGGCAAACAGGCTATTACCTGCTCCCCCCTAGCGGCAAGTCACAGTCACAGCAGCCTGCTTCACACAGCTATCCCACAATACCTGGTTGTCTATCTGCTTCCTATCCCAGCGTAACTTATATCTGCGTATAAAACTAGCACTAGTGCAAGGAGGCGGTGTTATCAGGGCCCTAAGTCCGATATTTGAGCGCTGTTCCCTTGTTAGGCACAGCAGGTTAGGCACAGAAATCTGGGTCTCTGATGTGGAGTGCAATTTGTTCCTCGCTCTGTAATAATAAAAAGGCATGCGGGTGGGTGCAGCAGCCCCTTCTGACACGATATCTTTCCCTCCTCCCCTAGTGAGGACGGTATTTCTGAGAGATCCAGCCCCAAGTCTGAAATAGAAATCAACTCGGAGCCACCTGAAGAAAAAGTGACCGCCAGAGCCAGCGCCAACTGTCCAAGCGGCAGTCACGTTGCAGATATTTACCTTGCAAACATCAACAAGTAAGAGCGCTCTTGCATTGGCTTGAGAAGCTCAGTGTTGAGGGCAGTGGGTCATTCTCTTTCTTGAGGAAAATACTGGAAATAGGCACTACTACTCTCGCCCATCCACTTCTGCTTCTTCCTGCTCATTTCCACTCCATTGTTCAGCTCCCTTTTCTCCAGCCTGCCCGAATCACTTTTATACACACCCTCGTCATTCCCACACCTCCATTCCACTTCAGCCCTTGGCCTAAAAAAATAAATGCCTCGCTTTGTCTTGTACGCTCTAAACAGATGCTTTAGTATGTGGCAGATCCACCAAGCTATACTATATTGTGGCCTGTTGCTGCGTGTATCGTGTTAGAGCACCCAAGCTCAGGCCTTCGCTATGGTAAGTCTGGAGCGGTCACTTGGGAAGACAGTCCCTGGCAAGAGGAGCTTACAGTCACGAGTTAGAGAAATAAGTCGCACTTTGGCATGACCTTCACTGTAACTTCTCTCTCCCGATCTCTCACATTGTTTGCTCATACCCGTTACTGCTCTTTGGGCCAGGGATATTTTGAAGTGCATTCTCGAGATGTTCAGTGCATTTGTGGTTGCTGTAAAGCAGCAATAAGGGAAAAAAATACCTTGCATTCAGTGCTGTCCATAACGACCTTTCATAAAACTTTTCTCCCAAAGCCAATTGCTAACCTTGAGTGCCACACCATTGACACCACGAGCCTCCCATTGCCCCAGTTTGATCTATTCAGCGAGGTGTCGACATGCTAGTCTGTTGATGAAAATCTGGAGAATGAAATTGTCTTGCTCTTTCTTTTCTTTTTTTCCCCCCTCCAAGGCATTGTTATTCCCAAATCTTTCAGTTCATTTCATTGGTATAAGATGGCACGCTAGGTTACCAAAGCAACTCTCTCAGTAATAGAACTGAGTACCCTAAAGCTACTAGTGCTGTTAATTATCATGTTGCAGAATTGCTTATCGACCTCTGGGGCACAGATGGAGAACTCTTAAAAAATGTTTCCTCTGTGAGGCTGTTAGTGCCAAATGATGGGCCCGGTTAGCTAGCGTGCAGCCATGTGGCTTTCTTTAATACCAGCGAAACGAGTGGTGCGTTTTTACCTGCTTAATGAACCGTTTGAGTGTGGGACTGTATCAGGTGTGGAACAGCTTGCACCATGGCAAGTTCCGTTTTGGAGATTCGCCATCTACCGCGGAGCTCTGCTCCTTGTTGCGGTACCCTGCATGACGCTTTTGCCAGGGAAGGTGTGATTTTTAGCAGCAGTAGCATAGCTCTTTTTTTTTTGTGTGTGGTTTTTCTTGAGGTTTGAATCGTCTGACCTATGTGTTAACAAGAGTGGGGCAAAAACAGATCAGATGGTTTCACTGTGGCTGTTGTGCCACCCACTGAATTGGTTTTTTGATGCCAAAATCCAACTAGAAATAGTACACTTGTAGCAGTTACTCATGCAGCCTGCACTATATATAAATCAGTCTTTTTCTTTAAGGCATGCCAGGCTGCCTGCTTTATAACACGCGGCAGTCTTTCTAGACTGGCCACGTCTAATGTGTATGAAACAATGCTTTCAGACTGCATGTTGCTGGGGGATGTTATGGAGATAATTTTGGGGGGCCAGCTTATGTACTATTCAGTCTCATACCCCTATAGCACGGCATAGATTATCTTTCGTGGCCTTGCTTAAGGTATAGAAAAGGCATGTTTCTAGAAGCAGCAAATGACTGAATCTTGTTGCTAACGCTAAACATCCTTTAAGGCAACGTGCCTACCTGCTCTTAAAAAGAATGCCATGATGCCTTTGCCCCAGAGTTTTAATAGGTTTTCTGTTATGCACCTTAGCCAAAAAGAGAACCTCTGATGTAATAACCAAAAAAATTGGTGTCTAGACTAGCTGATGGCACAGAGGGGTTTTTGGTTAAAATGACAACTTTTCCTTTGTAACGGAGTTAAATGCTTTTCCATTTAGTCTTCTGCATGTGCTAGGAAGGTGTACAACTGTTTGTAGTCTAATTGGCTTCGTTATGACAGACGTTAAGGTGGATGGTTGTAACATTGTATGACGATGCCCTGAGCAATGATGGAGGTTACTAATAACCCGGCCAGCCACAGGTCTCCTTCCACTGCCGTCTGTGTTGTCTGGGGGAACCCTGTTTCGAGGTCTGGCTCTCTGTGGGTCTCTTCTCATATTGACTTGTTTTGCTTTTGCAATTGAAGGCAAAGAAAGAAGCCAGAGTCTGGCAGCATTAGGAGAGCTTTCCGTCAAAGCGATAGCCATGGGCTGACGAGCTCTTTGGCCGAACCAGCCTCTCCAGGAGCCGGAGCCAGTTCTAGACCTTCATCTCAGCCCATTATGAGCCAAAGTCTCCCCAAGGAGGTTCCTGATAAATGTTCCATCAGTGGCCACGGCAGCCTTAATTCCATCAGCCGGCATTCGTCCCTGAAGAACAGGATAGAGAGCCCACAGATCCGGAAGACCGTGACCGCAGGAAGGTCAAAGAGCTTCAACAACCATCGGCCCATGGATCCTGAGGTCATTGCTCAGGTAAAGGAGACCCTTTAGCCTAAGGGAGGTTGGCTTCTGTTTTCATAAGGGAGTCACCAAGCGATTTAAAACCTAACTGCATTCATTCTGGGTAAACTCTTCTTCTTAGCTCAGCCTTGCTATGCGTAGGGGAAGGATGCGTTCCAACCCTTTGCATATGTGAGCGCTTCATGGGCTCGGAGACAGATGCTGAACATCCTGTGCTTGTCACTCACGCCTTTGCATGAGCCATAAGTGTGTATCCACCCCCTCTTCCCTCCCCCACCCGTTTCTTATATCATTTACAGCATAAAAAAGTTGTCCAGAGAAACAAGGAGTTTGCAGACCCACACAATGAAGTTTGGCGCTCCGTTTTTGCCACGGCACCTGTTTGTGCTGGTCCATGCAGCAAAGACGAGGGTTGCAGGATATATTTGAGCGTGTTGATGGGGCAAGGAAGCAAGATTTTATCATGAGGCTGGCCACTCTGCCTACCCAAAGATGCTTGCCCACCAGTTGGTCTGCTCTCCCAGCTCGCACTTCCGCGTTCTTTTAGTGTAACGTAAATCCATGCCTCAGTCTAATCGTGTAACCTCACCATGTGTAAGGCAGTGGGACTGCGTGTGTGAGTAAAGATAAATGACTCGGGCCTTTATGCCATAGAAGCTCTGGCACGTTCGTTATTCAGAACCCACAGCTTCTAAGGTGCTCGTTACAGAAAACTCATCCTGATTTATCAGGAAAAAAACATTCAACAGTCCAAACTCTGGGGCCTGAGAAAAGCAGGGGACTTGGTATCAATTTAAAGTCTTTTCACCACCTGAGCAACTTTGACCGTTGGTGAAATTTTGGAAGCATTTGCAATAGCACAATCAAAATAAAAGCGATGCTGCCTCTGTTCTGCTTTCATAGCAGCGTCTTTTTGTGTTCACAGACTCAGATACGTGGTAAGAAGCCACCTTCAAATCAAGTTGCCTTTGCATTTTGATTTCTTTAGGCAGGTGCTTGCGGGCGTGGGGAAGGCTGCCCTACTGATGTGTACACAGCTGTTCCTTCACCCTACAGAGATGGTTTTCTGCATTTTTAGACCGAGTCAGCGTACAGTACACGTGATGGGGAAGCATAGTTTTCACCTTGTTTTTTCTGCCCGGCTCTTGGAGAGAGAGTGGGTTTTTAATCTTTCCTCATTTCAACCCTCCCTAGGTATCTCCCTCTCTTGCTTACATTTTGACATAAATACTTCTGTGACAAAATCCTCTTCTTTTATTTATCCATCCCTCTCTTCACAAAAATGTCTCCAATAATCTCTTGGTGCTTTGGGACCATGGGCCATAAGAATCATGACTTGGGTTAATAGAAACGGCAACCAGGATCTGTAATTACTGTGTCTTGGCTTGGCCTGTCCACCACAGAACAATACCAGGGCATATAAACCAGGTTCAGAACAGCCAAAGGTTTGAAGAAGGGCTTAGACAGCAGGGAGCTAGAGCTAGTGATGCAAGTATTGGAGTGAGATATTACAGACTTCCCTCTTCACCAGAGGTTCATGCAGTGTTCCCCGTTCCAAACCGTAGATACGCCTGCACATGCATGCTCGTCCATGCCAGCTGCTTTTTTTCAGCGTGTGACGGATGTGTCTGAGGCTCAGGAGCACTTGGCTCTCAAGTTTCAAAGTCCGCTCTGAGGTACCCTGAATGGCTAATGTCTGCAGACTTGCGAACCAGAAGTGACAGGATTTCCAAACCCCGCACCCGCCCCCCAAAAAGTGGAGAAGTGAAAATGACCCGAGCGCCTCCTTACAGGTGAACCAGTGACACCAGATAGCTTATACTCGATGTCAGGTTATCGTACCGTTAACACTGGCCTTTTGTTCAGGGTCCAAGTGAATATCTTACATCCTCTGCTGGAGTGTTGTGTTTGGCCTTTGCCGTATCTTTAGCCTCGGTTCTGTCGGAGGGTATTATACGATTCTCGCTGTCTTGCTGTTTTTATTCCCGTTAGACTTTAGCTGAAGCAAATCGGTCTCTTTGTCTTTCAATTAGGCTCTCACTTTAGTTTTTCTCTTCAATCTCCTCTTCCTGCCAGAATAATAAACTCCAGTAATTCGTTGTTTCCACTGGAGATTAGAAGCTTTAAAAAAAAAAAAAAAATAGCTGCATTAAATTAGCACTCCCCTTTCATGTCCTCTCGAGTGTCAGTTCAAACACCATCTTGTAATCATCTGACGTTCTACATATCTTTCATAGATCTGTAAGTGTTTTAAAATCTGCTTGGTCTGGGGATAGGATCGGAGGTGTTAGGTTACTGTCTTTAGTTCCTTTTACCACTCCTAGACTGATCTTTACCTCCCCCGCTTGCTTTAAGGGAAAAAAAAGCAAAAAAAAAAAAAAAAATCCTCTAAGGAAGCTAGAAAGCTGTAGCCAAAATATGAGTCATGGAAAGGCTAAACCCTTCTGCTCTCCTGTGAATTTTGTTATACCGGCGGACTCCAACCCATAGCTGAATCCTTAATAAACTTCTAGGTCTTGATGTAGCTCAGAACAAACCCACAAATTTTACTTTGGTCTCGAGGAGTGCCTTTGTAGCCCTGTGCTTAATTCCCGTGATATTATATAAGCTGGAAAGGAACTTGTCCTTTTGCCGTGCGTCTCCAGCATCCTCTGCAGATTTTAAAACTCAGCACAATTTCCAGTTCTGTTTGTAAGATTTTCACGGGAGATTAAAAGCACCTGCGTAAGACCTGAGCTGTTGAGATGGCTGTAACAGATACGCACTGCAGGGTGATCGGATTCTCCGAGTCCCAGCAGCCAATGCAGTAAGCCGCTAACATCATGCTTTTGTTCTTTCAAAGAGCCGCTCTCTCTGATATCATTGGAAGATTATCCCTCTGTGCCAAGCAAAAAAAAAAAAAAAAGGGACAAGAAGAAATCCTTATCTTTTTGAATTGCAGGCTTTTCTCCTAGTAGTTTGGGCCAGGAGAGGATTTTATTTGCGTCTTCAAAGTCCAGGAGAATTCAGGAAAAATAAATTGCAAAACTAGCCTCAAGGAAAGCGTTATCAATTAGTTGGCTCCGGTCCGATGGAAAACAGTGTTATTAATTGGCTTTAATATGTTCTGCCAGATAGCAGGCAGTCATCCTAGCACATAAAGCTGATGTCCCCTTCATTTTCGAGGTCAGATTAACCCTTGCTTGCCAGTGATGGCTGACGCTTCACACTAGAGTTGAGACGCGGTGTATCTACAGTTGACGCTGTGCATCTAGCCCCTGTGATGAATTCGGTCTCTCTTCAATTTTTGCAGGATATTGAAGCTACTATGAACTCTGCCTTGAATGAACTGAGGGAGCTGGAAAGGCAAAGCAACGTAAAGCACACGCCAGACGTTGTCCTCGACACGCTAGAGCCTTTGAAAACCTCCCCGGTCGTGGCCCCCACCTCGGAGCCTTCCAGCCCTCTGCACACCCAGATCATCAAGGACTCTGAACCAGCCTTCCAGCGGAGCGCCAGCACTGCTGGCGACATCCCGTGCGCCTTCAGGCCGGTGAAGTCGGTCAAAATGGCCGCGCAGGTTAAACCTCCAGCAACTAGGCCAAAACCTGCGGTTTTCCCCAAGACCAGTGCCACTAGCCCCGCTGTTGCGTCTTCTCCATCTCAACAGCCTACTGACAAGTCTTGTACTGTCTGATGAACTAGAAGCCACGCTGTGGATGTAATGTTATTGTTTCAGATGAGGAGACTATATTAAAGAGACGCTATAATTCCTATTTAACTAGTTTGGGACTTCTGTCGAAGGTTAGTTTGTAAGTTGTCACTGCCAGGAGCGCTTCCTGGGAGTGAAGACGTTAGTAATTAAGCCTCATCCCAAGCACTCTGCATCGGTGATGTTAGTACAACAAAATCCAGCATCCCACACGTATGAGGTGGACAGAGTAAAACCCATTATCAGGTCACTGTGAAACAGGAGGAAAACTCAAAGGAGCAATGAATTGGTTCTTGGTTTATAGTTGATGCCTTGTTCAAATGTTTGGCCACTGAAGGAAGTACTCAGTGGCATCATGTTCTGAATACTGGTGTAGTGACTTATATAGTCTGTGCTTCGTTTGCCGCAGGGAAACAATAAATAGTCTATTGCATGTTTTGGTGCCACTGTTTGTGGAGCTTGGACATGCCTGTTTCTTGTGCTTTATTGCATTGCCTGCTGGTGCCACTGTGCTTAAGGGTCTGTCTCAGTTTCCATTACATCCTCTGTTTTTCAAGGGTCTTAGCTCGTAGTGCTAGAGATGTCTCTCCTGGGTTAAGACTTGTCATGACGGATAACTCTGGAACAGTCTTAGTTTTGCTGAGTTGCATGTTATGCGTCTGCTCAGCTTGAAATGCAACACATCTCTTTCAGATTTTTAGGAGGACAAAAGAATCCCAGAACGCATTGGTTATGGGTGCTCCAGCTGTGCTCCCAGATTTTAAACATGGCTCTGTGCTTTCTTTTCAAATGACATTTCCATCCCATTAGGCTATAAAACAGTGTGCGAAGCGTGTGTCCTTCAGCAGGGACTTGAAGATGGAATGTAAAAATGAGTTAACTTTTCGACACCAGCTGCCGTGCTCTCAAAGAAGCTGCCTTTCCTAACGCACATGTCCTTGTTATGCTTGAGATGGGCCAAAACCAAAATCTCCGATCTGAACGTACCTAAAGCTTGGATTCTCAAGGTCTCCAAACTTTTCGTCTTTTGATTGTAAATGTGTTGTTCTGTGGGCCGGGCCACCGTGAACCACTGGGGGTAGGGGGAGAGGGACACAAAGCAAAGGGACTTAGGCAGTATAGTATTCAACTTTATAAATTGCTTAAATGCATATTCCTATGATATATCATCGTGTCTTCAAAGGACTCTGCAGACATTTTAATGAATTCTTAATATACGCGTTTATATGATAGACTGTGACGGTCTCAAGTGCTAGCAGGCTGCATAGACTCCTCTGTACTCGCTGGGAATTTCCAGAAAGCTACAATTTAATGACACATAGCGAAAGGAAATGCACACGTTATATTAAAGCAGAGATGAATCTTGCAGTCCCGCCCAGCCAGTGAGGCTCTCCGCTGATGTTTCATCTTTGGCTTACCTTGTCATGCCCGAGTTTTGTTTTGCAGTCTGGAAATAGTCACACATCTTAAATTCTCATCATACCCACTCGAGCAAGATGAGGAGGAAGATGGTTTTCCCATTCTCCTTTAGTTTCCTGTGAAGTCCTGAATGGCAACCAGAATTTCTCGTGGCTTAATGTAGATTTGTAGTCTTTTTAACTGGCATTTTATTAAAAACAATACATTACATCTCTTTTGAGGGAAGAAAAAAAAAAAGTTGGCCTTAAATAGTCACTTCCAGTTCATTAAAAGGAGTTTGCTTGGATAGACTTGCTGGGTTTTTTTTTTTTTCTCATCTTTCTGTAAAAGGAGAGGAACTTCTGTATGAATGGTGTTTGATGGCAAATGACTGACCCTCTCTATGCCCTGAATTTTGGAGACTTGACAAGTGTGTTGGCAAGAGTGCAAAGGAAATGCCGAAAAAATTCTTGGGACCATTCTCATCGTTCATTCTTCCTTCGTTAATGTTCAGCAGCCTTTATCTTTTGGGCACGCTGCATCCGTGCGCTGCTTCTGTTGGACTGTAAACTGTCCCCATCAAAGGGAACGAACCCGACTGCGTGACCAGCTAACTCGCTCTCAGGTTCCGATGGACTCCAAGTACCAAGAAATCTCACTTTCTTCTGGAAAATCGATTTACAACCAATAAGCAATTAGTGATTTTTCACTCAGGCGAGACTCCGGCAAATACGTTATGTAGGTTTTTGTTTGGATGGTGACTGGTCAAAGTGAATGCTTGTCTCGCTACCCAGGAAATGAGCAGAACAAGATCCTGCTACGAATTCACTTTGGCTCCTTAGTAATGCCTTATTTTCTTTTGGTTTATGCCTCGCATTTGTGTTGCCAAGGGACAGTATCCAACTACACACAGCACCTTAGGACAAGGTGGTGGTTTCCTGTCCTCAAGACCCACAGTACAAGTGGCCATAAGAGATCAGATGCTGGTCTCTGTATGGAATTAGTATGCTTATTTCTAGAGACCAGGACGCTGGAAAGATCCTACTGACCGTATCTTGGGCAAATCAACTGGAATGGTGGTGTGCGCTGTGCTTCACGTTCAGGTACGCACCTGGCAGCATCGCCTGGAGAGCGTCCTTGATGCTTCAACCAGCAGGAAATGCTTCAAAAAAGCAAACAAACCCCCAAAACACCACTGGTAGCTTGTCTGTCTTGTGCCATGGACTATGTGGGGCTAGCAGTTGGTTTGTTGTAACTGGTTTGTGACAAACTTGTTGGGGAAAAAGGTGGAAAGAACTGGAAAAGACAACACTCTCCACTTGTCTGGTGGGCATCTTACCGACAAGGTCAGCACGGCACGGGAAACAGGACGTTCTACTGCGTGGGGAAGTGTATATGTTACTTCATAACTTCATGTCCAGAAGAATTATTAGATCTTCCAGGGAAATGCAGTTTCGTAACTTTTAGCGTGTGTCACATTTAAAGTATATTCTTTCCAAGAAGAGAAGTGTTGGTAACTGGAATAATGTATGTCTGCTCCGGTAATGCTTTGTATGAACATAAGACTTTTTTGTTTACTGAATGTTGGATTGAAATGATCCAAAGCGACCTTTTAAAATAAAAATACAATTTTAGGTGATCGGTCTTAATAGTTTCTGCAGTTCTGACCTTGTGCATTTTACTTCCTTAGTTGGAAGTTACTCCACCCTGCTTTAATGCTTGCTCATTTTCTGCCTCCCTGGGAATCCAAAGGCTAACGATTTAGGGCTTGTAAACTTAGTCCACGTATCCAAACAGTGAGGTGTGACCAAAAATACTTTTGCTTGATCTTTACTGGATGCTTGGTTGCAATGAAAACCATCAAATACTTGCAATACACTGTGACAGCAAAAGAGTTCTCCGCTATGTATTTGAATGCCTGTTTCAAAACAGGGAGCTTTTGAGTTTCTTGTGAAGAATACCTTTTTTTTATTTTTTAAATGTCGGATTGTTCTTGCACGTATAATGTGTTCAGATAAAGTACTGACAAACTCATTGGCCAGATCAAAGCCTAGTTTTGTAGTTGTTAGGGACTGGAAAGCACCTTGCAGATCATCGCGTCCAGCCTGTTAGAGTTTAGATGGGATAGTCTATCCATTATGCCCCAAGTCTTCTACCTTAGTCTTGGGTATGTTGTCACAAGCTAAGTTCCCTTATCTAAGGGAGTTCTGCAACATTAAAGCAAAGGGAATACTTAAAGTAGAGTTTAGCCTTAACTTCCGTTTCTTTCCTAAGTGTTGGTCGAGACATCAACGCTTCGTTGAACGTGGGGTAGGCATCTCTGTGCACGTGAGGATTTTGCCAGAGAAGTAAACTTCTGCAGTGAGCACCTCGCAGATAGGTTACGGAAGCACCTTCCCGATAGACTAGACTGGCCTGGATCTGTCAGTTGAAGGGAGGTTGTATTCCCAGTAGGGCATAATGCCCTATTAAGGCAACTGAGCTAATGGGTGTGTGTGCATGTGTATGTGTGTCGTAGTCAGACCATACATTCAAAAAGTCACAAGATGCTGGATCCTCTGCCCTAATCCAGTGCACTAATATGCACATGCTTAACCATAAGCATATGAAATGATCCTTCTGCACAGAAGTGAAGCCTTCCTCCTGGGCTGTGGTGCACTTTGCGGGACGAGCCCTAAAGCCATGGGGACTTGTTACAAAAATTCAAATGCATTCACTCATTTTGGCTTTGCAGTTCAGTCAGAGAAGAAAAGCCTAGGAACAGCAATGGGTTCTCCACTTCTGGCAAGACCATGGGAAGGATTCAGAAAAGAAAACATGTTTTAGCATAGATTTGCTTTTATAAAAATATATCACCCCTTTGGTGAAATCATCTGGCCTTGACTACCTATCCCACAGCCACAGCATGAGTTACCAGCAGAGAGGAAGCTCCTGCTTGTCACTAGTAAACCAGCAGCAACCAGAAGATTGCCTAAAAGGGAAATGAGTTTTTAAAATGGTTGGAGTTAAAACTTGTGGTTGGAGGAGGCATGAAGCATTTGTGGGCTTAACTCCACTCGTGTCGCAGCTTCACAGGTCCTCTTTGAAGGTATATTCCCCCTACACATGTCGCCTCGCTCTGCCACTCATCGGTGCAGCTGCCTGGACTTAGAAACCATTTCTAACCCGCTTGCTTGTGCCCACGCAAACTCCAAAGGGAGCCATTATGTTCTGTCTGCTGTGTAATGCACGTGGCACGGCGTATGCAGAAACTGCTTCTTGGACCTTCGGCTCTGCCCCTTCACCTCCTGGCTATGCCAAAACGGTAGAGGGAAGGGTTTTGTCTCGGCGTAAATCTCAAGTCGCGTTTCTATTGAAGAAGGGAGCGGCAAAGCCGCCATTTAAAAACTGGAAAACGTGCAGTTGGTTTCTGTTGTTTTTTGGACTTCCAGGAATGTTGTTCAATAGACTTTTGTTTTCCCGAAACGGAGCAAACAGAGGTGGGCTTGGGGGTGGGAAGGAGTCACAACTGTGCAAATACCTGCTAGGTCAGGTTTCAGTGCAGGGAAAACATTTGGCAGCTTGCAATGGAAATTGCAGACGGACCCTTCATTTTAGCGGCACTACAATAACTTGCTTTTTAAGTGGACTTCACCAGCCTTTCTCTATCGGCAGAGTGCTGTAATCTGCATAAACTGAGTTCAGAGGAACTGGACTCTTAGCGTGCCAAATTGCTGGAGCAATACTTGTAAGCAACAGGTTCTTTAAAAGACCAGCTCTGATATATGTAGCCACAGTAGGGCAATTGATGAAACTCTCCCAAATTTGAAGAATAGCAGCAATGTCTCGATTCTACTGTACGTAAGAAAGGTCAATTGCAGTTGAGCAATCGTGTCTTTCTTTCTTCTTTTAATTTAAACCCTAATCCTGCAGGAGCAGGCTAGGCTTCATACAGCACATCGGGGGTTTCTTTTTGTTGGTTTGTTGTTTTTTTTTGTTTTGTTTTTTATTAACAGCAACTGTTTAATGGTTTGGGCTGAAATGTTACTGTTAAAACAATTTCCATTGTTTCATGTCTTCTACACCAATATATATATGGTGTATATATTTACTTTAAAAACTGTGTAAAATTGTACTTTGTATATACAACTATGTACAATATGGAGGTACATCTCTCTGTTTTTTTTTGTTTTTTTTTCCTTTTTGGTACAGTATTGTACAGTATTAGAAGAGTACACGTGTTGGAATTGTTAAATCCGTACTGGGGAAACACAATGTATCCGTTGTCATTAGCAATAGTTTTTGGGGAAATAAATGTTTCAGGTATGGTGGAAATGCTGACCTACAGACGACAATAAATGGTGTGTAGAGAGGGGGTGTGTGTCTGTGTCTGTCGGGGAGAGAGAAATAGGACCATTGGTGTCTGTCTGCTTGGGGCGCCGTGCTGCCCGCCTCGAGATTTTGAGTTTCCCTTGGATTCAAAGCTGCTTAAGTAACATCTGGAAAAATTAACAAGGTGAGGAAAGTCTTACAGGCTCCAGCAACAGTACCGCACCTCTGGACCAGGAGGTGCGGTACAAGCAGCAGCCCGCACAGCCTTCTGCAGACACCCTATCCGAAGGACGGGCAGAGGAAGTGACCTGCCCCAAGCGGTAACCGCAGCTGTAAGCACAACCCAGGATTTCTTGCTCCCGGTGCCCTTGGCGTGGCTTTGCACGTGGTGACAGACGCCTCCCAAAATGCCGCCCATGGTGCTCTGCCCCTGCGCAAGCACTTGGAGGATGCTCACATGATTAAACCCTTCTGGTTCATCCGCGCCAACAAACGGCTATCAAAGAGTCGTTGTCTGGAACAGAGCATGCGTTACGCCTCGACGGGATGCCTTAATGGGCAATTGTGAATTGGTTGCTGTGGGGTCACCAGGGATGTGCGTGCAACCCGTTTTCGTATGGAGCAGGACCCCAAGCTAGGCATCCCCCCGCCCTGCGTGGCTGCAGTTCCCCTCCTGCATTGGCCAGCGGTGACGGAGCTCTAAGAAGGGGGTGGAGGTCTCTCTGCACCGGGGTGGCCGCTGTCTACAAGAGGAAAGGGCCTGGGAGTGTTGTGAAGGTTTTGCACATGGCTGTAGATTATGCTTAGCGCTACAAGAAGCCTGCAGTGCTGTTGCTGTCAGCATAATCACTGTACGGGAACAGATGGGAGAGGGAATGCTGGGAGACGTTTCCTCGGGGAGGGAGCGGGAATACAATGCGAATGTATTTCTACTTTCTGCAAAGCAGCTTTCAGCTCGGCAGGTTGATGGCTCGTTCTTGTTCCTGTGAGATTCCCCCAGGTTAATGACTTGTTTATGGGGCCTGCTGTTCTGCGTGCGGTCCAAGATGATAGCGCCTTGCATTGCCCACTAGCCGAGACCGGTGGTATATCGCTAGGGCCAAGGCACCCTTCCTCTCTCCAATACAGCAGAGGTCATTCGTTACCGGATTCTGGTCTCAGATTATAACGGAGTCAGGATTGTGCTCTACGATAGTGCACCGACTTCAACACAAAAGCAGAGGTGCTTTGTTAAGGAGAGCTGAAAATGTTATGGCTGAGAAACTGGATTAAAAAATGATTAAACAAAAGAATGAAAAACGACTTGCTTTGGTCAGGGCCCCACGGAGCCAGTTTTGATCTAAGCACTGGTGGTCTAATGTCCCAGCCCCGGATTTGAGAGAGAACTCTGCCTGTGGCTACGTTTTCCCTTTTTGACTTAATTGGAAGGAGACGAAGCCAGCAGGATGCAAAGGAAGCATAAGGGAATGTTTTGTCCCCCTCTCTTATTTTAAATGGGTTCTTTGTAATGTAAAAGTATTATTTATTTTTTAGCAAAGTTGCTCAGGGCTTACATATGCCTTGCGGGGTTGCAGCGATATAAAGCGTGGCTGAAAAGTGCCCAGTCACTTGATCCTCTTGGTCTGTGCTTGCAGTGATGTTTATAGCCCTGGAGGAATTTATAGCGGCGTGTGCTTGGCCCTTGCATTTTTTTCATAACTGACTTGGATTCCATTTGAAATAATAATAATTAGAGGGGGGGGAAAAAGGTGGACTGCTTCCTTCAGGCCTTCTGGCTTAGTCCTGCCTGCTTCTGAGTGAACTTCTTGTCCCAAATCCATTGTTTTGTCCCTTGTCCTCAAATGCCAGAGGCCTGCAGGATGCTGAGTTGAACCCTTTTCTATTTGGCATGTATCTTCAGTCCACGTACTAGAGGCTGTCCACCAAGCCCTCAAAGCAGAGAGTTGCCACAGAGGGAAGGATGCCTCCCTCGTTAAAGTGCTGGTCTTGGAGTCACGGGCCTTGGCTTGGTTCCCAATTCTGCCATGATCATTGTGTGATCTGGAGCAAGTCGTTCAGCCTTGCTGTGTCTCGCTTGCCCAGCTAGAGCATGGTGATGGTAGCATCCCCTTGCCTCCCGTGGGCGGGTGGGGGGTGTGTGTGTCCATGCATGAATGTTGGTGTGCGGGACTTTTGGATGCAATGGATCGGCAAGGGGATGCTAATTGATACCTGCTGCTAGGAAGGGTGGCCAGGTCTTTGGAAGGTCACCCATCAACATGGAATTGGGAGGCTTAAATCGGCATGGCACGTCCAGCCAAAGAGCTGGGCTTCAACGTGCCCATCTTGCAAAGACGAGGCACTGCCTTCACTCCCCCGCAACCAGAGCCTGTTCCAGGGAGCTGGAGAATTTCCAGCCTCGCTCCCGCTAAGCCACGGAGACTGCCTCCCACGTGTGGCCCTCCCAGGAGCTGTTTCCTAGCTCTGCTGGCCCAAACTCCACGTGGGAAGGCATTAGGCATTTGCTTTGTTAATGGACAGCCAGGCTGCTAACATTTTCCATACTTTTCCAGCTCCCATCCAGTCTGAATTAGACACACCTGTCCAGTTACAGCAGGACGTGATGGAGCGTGAACTCCTGCAACCGTCTGATTGAAAAACGCTTAATCTCTCTTGTGTTTGCACGGAGAAGAAGGGTCCCAGCCCCCGCGTGGAGAGCTCAGTCATCTGTATTATGGGCTGCTTACCCCCATCTTATTTTTTTTCCCCAACATTTCTCATTCAGGGGCTGGGGAAACCACCTCCAGGTTTTTGTAATTAGGGGTTAAACGAGCTCTTTGTTCAGGTTCCAGAGAGTTAATTATTTACAGTCGGGGTTAGTGTGGGAGAACAGGGGTGTTTGATGTGTAATCAGACGGTTTTGTGCAGGGCTGGCAGCCACTGCAGTGCAGCTAACCATGCCCACACTCGCTGCTTGCCAGGGCCGGCGGGGAGGGAATCTCAGGGCCCTGGCACAACCGAGGTGAGCAGGGGGTGGACCTGCTGCCCAGCCAGACCTTGCGTGCACCTAGTTGATGTGGTGTTGTCACACATCACGCCTGCCTCTAATGCAATCGCTGTATGGGCAGGGTAGCCAAAATGCCGGGAATTTTTATTTCTGTATTGAATTAGCCTCCTAGATCACAACAGTCTCAGTGGACCTGCCATAAACTGAGCCGGACGCCCACAGCGGGCCAGGCTGCAGGTGGGTCGGGATGTCTGATGCTTTTGTATCTCCAGTCTCTGCTGCGGAGAGAACACCTGGCTGCTTTGCTGGTGTTGGACATGCTGCCTTTCCTCTGCCACGGACAAGCAGACTTGTGCTGAGCTGGGGGAGAGCGGTGCCTGGCTTAATGACGAGGTAAGAGACCTGCAGGATGCTGGGATGGAGAGTCTCGTGGGTGACTGAGGCAGTGCTGCGGGGGGCTATGCACTGACTTGGGCCGTATGCCCGCTCTGGGGCAAGAGGAGTAAGAAGAGCCGTCTGTGGATCTTTTTTCTTCCTGGGGCACCTGGTTTATGGGTATGGGGCACAGGGGTCAATGAGGCTGGTAATCTGCCTGCTCGCCCTTCCCCAGAGCAGGTGGATGGAGGCTTCTTGCCTCCTGCTCTCTGTCCCATGAGGGCCTTCCTGCAAGTGGCGTAAGGCGGCTGGGAGGAAGCCGGCCCCAAGCATCTACTGCTACCAGGATTCATACATGTTCGCACTAGGGTCAGCATGGGGCAGCCTGGGACTTGGGAGGCAGCAAATGCCAAAGCCACTTTCTTCCAGCCAAGGTTATGGTCTTGCCTCGGGTGCTGCACTCACCACTACGCCAATGTGATGCTCAACCCCAAGGGACGCTCCCCCCCTGCCCCCAAGGAAAATGAGTGGGGAACATGCAGTTAGGAACATCCTTGCTAAGCTCCGCAGGGATCCTGCTAGGGTGACCCGGGAGATGCATTTCTCTCCGACTCTTGTGCTTCGGCTTTAGCCTGGCTGCTTTTTGTGTAACAGGACTCCATCTGCTTAAAAATCAGCTTTGTGTTTGCAAGTGTGCACCGATGGTTGCAAGTAACCCCTAAGACGACCCTCAACCGCATTCGTGATAAAATGCCCCATCATTTGACGGCAGGAATGTGTGGGGAGGGTGACTTTTCTCTGCCAAGCGTCTTAGGCTTACTCGGGTACGAAAGGAGTGGTGCAAGTCATGGCCCCTGCCCCGCTTTGCTCCCAGACTTGGGCTCCCAGCTGGGCCTAGCACCGTGCGACCCTGGTTTTGTCTGGGGATTGCAGGTGCTCGGGGAATACAGATGAGAGTTTAAGTAGTGCAGGTAACGGCGTCTCTAGCGAAGACTGCACATAATAATGCAGAACCCGATGCTGAACC